TAGGTAAGTCGAGAATGAGACGATCATTGTCGGTCACTTGATCGGCAAGTTGCCGACAAGTGGCCCTCGATGAGGGCCGGGAATGCAGGCCGCCGTGTGGTGGTTTTTCCGGGTATATTTTTCGGCAAGTTTTCCTCCCATTTTCTTGTGCGGCAGACATCAGCTCATGGAACGTGTCGTTTCAATTCATCCCGTCTTCTGGGAGGGTGTGCAGTGGTGGTGGTCGCAGCGATGATGCGGGCGCGCTGTGGGCGTTGGTCGATGAATGAACGCAGACGCAGCGCTGGCCTCGGAATGGTAGGCCCTCTGGATGATTTGAGAGACAGATTCACCATAAGAAAAGAGGATTAGCAGGTGTCTGGGCAATGGGCGCTAATAATGGTTGTTGCAACTTTGAGGTATGGTTTGGCCGGGGATTTCTCCATGGGTGAATGACGAGCGTTAGACAATGTCCTTGTTCGAGTTCCAGGATGGCCTGTGGTTCCTTTTCCGAGGGACACAACAGCGGCAACTCTGACAGGTGCAGAGGAAAACGGCGAATAAGGCTGGGCTTGCTGCAAGTTGCAAGATGAGGATGTACCATGACGGGGCTTGGGTTGTAGGTGGTTCAAATGCAATGGCCAAGATGCCGAGCCGGCGGTGTCTCTCATTCGACTGTTTCTTGTTGGCCGAACTCTCGAGTCGAGTCGAATCTCGTGGGCTTCTCACAGGTTCTGCCGTCCCACGCTCCTTCCTGCCAGACTCCAGTTGTGGGGGCCGACGTGCCGTCGCCGATGAAAAGTCCGAGTAGGTAGATAGCCTCACAATGTTAGGGATGTGAAAAACGCAAAAGGTACGGTCCAGCACAGTGGAGGAGCGGGTACACTGCATTTTGGTGAGGTTTCCCCCCAGATCGGGCCATCTGGACCATGGATGCAGGGATTAAAGGGGTCTCGCGGTGCGTGCCTGCGCTAGTGTTTCCGCTTGAGCCTGCCACGCTTATCATTGGCCCACCAACCTCCAGAAAGATCCATGTGGGAACTCTGGGAGGCAGGGGCTCCTTGGGGCTCTAAGGTACATAGTTAGTAGTGTATGGAGAGGACCCGCTTGCCGGGGGGCTAAGAGGGGCTCGTCAGGAGGCAAGCAGGCATGGCTCCTGGTGCAGGAGCGTTGAACTAAGACAGCAGAGTGTGTGTGTGTGTGTGTGAGACGGCAAAGGTGAAGCGAGCAGTGCAGTCAAATCGAGTCTCGTGCACCTTCCTTCCTTCCTTCCTTCCTTCCTTCCTTCCTCCTCCTTTCTGCCAACCGGGGCCCCTCCCCCTGTCCGCTTCTTACCAGGAACGCTTGTGATGGCGTCAGCCACAGTCCCACAGATGAACCGAGCTTCCGGTCCATCTGCCACTTCAGGATCTCGTCCTAGTGTGGTGTACTATACTATTGTGTATGTAAGTACCTACATGCTCGCTATGAACTAAAAATTGCAGCCGGGGGCCAACCCTTGGCGGCATCCATCCTATCAGCCTTTGTAAGTTGGGGCGACGACGGCCGACTTTGGGTCTTGGGTTGGCCAGACGCCTCTCGTACCATCTGTTTCCCCTCCAAACTGTTTTCGTCCTACCTACCGTGCATACTACCACCTAGAAGCCTTGAGCTAATGACCAAAGGGACTATAGTACCATACTCTGGACTACCAACGGCCTCATCGACTCTCCCAGTTCGGGCAAAGTTGGTGTCCGTTGGCGTCATAACCACGCCCTGTTGTCATTCGCATTTTGAGGTTCCGGCTTCCCTGCTCATATCCCCCCATCAGCTCGTTTGCGCAATCCCGTCATACCCAGGTAGTACCCACGCCTGTGCTGGAAGGTACCAAACATTTCACCCTTACCTGCGTGCGTGCTCCTGATAGCAGCAGCGCACCGCTTTCGGCGCGTTCCCAGTGTTGGACTGGACTAAAGAGAGCAACACACCCACGTCAACCGCCCACACTGCGGCAGTAGTGACAAACATGATGACACTCATACCCAGCAGCGAACAGATGGCCAAATGAAAATTAATTAAAACGAAATAGTGAGGGAGGAGGGAAAAAACACCCCAGACCCTAGCCTCTTCTCTTGCTTCTCGGTGGAGTCGATGTGCTTGCTTGCACGAATTCTCACCGTTGATTGAATGGGCTGTCACTCAGGCCAGACTTCCTCCAATCCGCGTCCCCAATCCCACCCCCGTCTCCTCTGTATTGGGAGTCAGACCCAGCCCGGCCCTCTCCTTCTGGCAGCCCGCTTGTCCTCTTTTTGACCTCCCGGGATCCCTCCTCGCTTCGTCTCTATACTTTCTTGTCCCGTCTAGACTCCTCCTCTTGCGGACCTCCCTCCTCCTCTTCACCTCCCGTCTCAAATTCTCGTCCCGCAGGTGTGGTTGCGAGCAAGAGTTGTCGTCGCCTCCGTCCAGTCACGTCGAGTCGCAAGCCGAATCAAGCCAACTCGCAAGTCGGCATTCTGTCGAGATCCCACGACGGATAGATCCCGCCACGATACATCCGTGTGTTCGTTCGCCTACCAACCCACACAGGCCCACTGACAAGCTCACACAGGACGCCTCTTCACTTCTCGACTTTCTTTTTCTCACAATATCGCCGACACCATCGACCGTTATTGGCCTTTCCTTACTTTTTCTTCCTGCCGCCAACGGACAAACCCTCTGTCTTGAAGACGTTCAACTACCGATAACCTTTTTTTTTGTCCCTCTTCCTCTTCGAAAGAACTCGATTCGGTACCAGCGTCGCTTTCCTCGCTGACCCTGTTTCTCTCTCTGCACCGTTGCATTGGGGGGTTTCTTCGACTTTTTCAAGCAAACCTCATTGACGGACGCTCCCCACACGGAGTCGCCTGTCAGTTCGCACATCATTTCGGCCTCGACTCGTCTCCGGGCCTGCTCTTTCGCCTGATTGTCTCTTGATCTTCAAATCTTCAGACGTCAATCACAAGGTTCCCCCCGAAAGGTGCTGCTCCTCGACGCCGGACACACCCTGCTCGTTCCGCCCGTCTGAAACACTCTCAGTCCTGTCGCCAGCACCGCAAGACCCAGTGTGTGTCGTGCAACCATCCGCGCTCGTCCCACCACTGACGATTTCCCTTCCTCGCCCGCCGTCAGAGTTGCACTCTACTCTTCTGCTACGCCGACGACTGCGTTGATCTGTCTGTTTGTCGAAGCATCTGCTCAGGCACGCCTGTTCCCATTCCGTGGTCGATGTCATTGCTTTACAGTCAACTCTTGTCACCACCGCCACTCACTCACTCATCAATCATATCGTATTCAACCTGCTGTCAAAAGCCGGCCTTACGACGTCCCATCGCTCTCTCTCCTCTTCACGACGGCAACGCCAAATTTTCCTTGTTGGGCGAATCACGTTGGACGAAAGGCCAAGTCTCGAAACACCAAATGTACGTGATCCCCTTTGGGAGACCCCCCCCCCCCCCCCTACTCGTAGCCCAGCTGTTCAGGTATTCCTTGCTTGGAGGGGGTGGCCAACTTGAAGCGACCCTCCCGAACCACCGGGAATCTCCTGTTCCTGTTGCTGGGCGGGTTCCCTCGCTGGCCGTGCTGCTTCATTCTTCCTTTCTGACATCTTACTACTCTTCTCAACCCCTTCATGCTGTTCCCCGTACTGACTTGGACTTCTCCACGATAGATCGTCCACTGTGTCTTTCCATTCTCTGCTTTTCTAATTAATCCATCCAGTTTCTAAACTATCCTGCTACCTTTGCGTACGCAGCTCGTTCCTTCGCCGCCCTTTTCGTTTCGTTCTTTTTCTTTCGTCGCTGTCGCCACCCGACCGCGCATTTCAGCGCTGCTAGACTTTCGATTCTTCATAATAGGCCTGGGTCCTGTTTTCCAACTTCGCATAGTTACACCGCTTCACAATAGAGTTGAGCGACCATTCGTTTGATATACCCTACCGCCAGTCGTTTCTGTCCGCGAAGCTGCGTCGATTACCTGCAGTCATAACACTGCCGATTCGAGCCTATACGGGCTTCACCTTGGGCAACTTTGAAAGCGACGCCGCATTAGCAAAACTTCAGACGCCCGCAGAAACCACGGTTGTAGAGTCTGCAGCTAGGTGATACTGCAAAGCGAATGGTCTATTTGCCGTGCCTGGACACGCAGGCACTCTGGAAAGGAAAGAACAAACGAAAGCAGGAAGTCGGAAACCCGAAACTCTGATGTCGCTGGACCGAATTCACGAGTACTAAATGAGTCAACCCCAATATGGAAGAGATATGGATCGACCGCCAGTTGCAGGATCCGTCAGGCGCGCGAGAGAGCGGGCTCAAGCCGGATTCCCGAGGGAGCAAAACTCGCCGCCGAGTGCCACGAGGTTCCCAATAATGGAAGAAGATCCAGACAGTCCCACGGATGTCTCAGAACGACGACAAATTGTCGAACCCACGACCTCACGTATACCGAGACCGCAACCCCCGGCAGGACTACAGAACAAGGACGGAGGCATCGGTGTCGCCATATCTCGACCGACGCAGATTCCACAATGGCCGCTGCCTGGACCGATTTCGTCTCCCACAACCAACCCCGATGCCCAGCCTTACCGACCCCCTCCGGGTCGTGGACCGCCACCGCAACGGCCTCCCCGTCCGAGCAGAGTGCCGTCCATCTTGGACGGCTCACGCGTCCAGGACCACACTCCCGTATTTCAATACATCCCCCAAAGCGGACGAGAATCAATCCTAAGCCAGGATGTGCCATCTGGCCCGCTTACCCCGTCGTCAAGACACACACAGTCATCTCTCTCATCAGTCGGATCGATACCAGACTTTCCTCTGCCGGCAGTCGTCCCGCCCGTCGCCGTGCCGCCACCGGTAGCGCCGCCAAGACGGAGTGTAACCCTAGGTCCGCCGCCCTCGTCGCGTCGAGGTGATTCGTCCTTTTATTCGAATGCCTCATTCGTTTCCCCGATTCCCGAAGAGAGTCCACGGTCTAGGTCGCATACCTCATTTGCTTCCAGCGCCGCAATGCCGGAGAGCTGGGGCAGCCAATCACCAGGATACAGCCCGGGATATCCAGACGACTACTACGACGATGCGTATTCTACCGGAGACGAAGATAGCCAGATGAGCCGTCGCAGCGGATCGCCGTATGGCGGCGACGTAGGCGACGAGAGCAAGCTGGTGAGGAGCGCGAGTTTGGGCAAAATGTCGAAGCCGTCAATCGTCATGAATCGAGCACCGAGCAGCGGAGATCCATTGCCGCAGGAGGGACAGGAACTACAACTACAGGAACCGTCACGGGCGTCGCCCAGTCCTATGAAACTCCCCGTCAGCCCGTTTGATGGTGGAACGGCGTACTATGAGGGTTCCAGCTCGTCCGGTACAGTGCCCACCATGGCCGGCACAGCCAACACGCCCTCGCTCACGGCCGATGCAATGCTTGGCGCTTATGCTGCTGCCAGCGCAACAGACCCGACAGGAACGAGGAAATTCACACCATCGCCGCGACCATACAACCGCTTGTCAGCTATTCGGCGCCCGCCAAAACTCGGACTCGACATGGACTCGGTCAGGGAGATGGAGTCCAGGGGTAGCATGACCAGCCTGCCAGACCTCATCAAGCGTGCAACCCGCCTAGCTACCCTGATTGACCGCGGACGAAGACCTGCGAGTCGATTCGAGATGGACGACGGGGTGTGGCCAGACGAGAAGGCATTCGGGCGCGAGGGGGAGCAACAAGTGTCTACCATGTCTTGTAAGTTGACCAGCCGAACTCTTTATTGACAACAACGGCTAACATCGCTCTAGCTGCTGAAAAGCATCAGTCAGGCCTGTCCGACATGTTGGCCGCGTTTCCTCCACCTGCGGCTACAACTCCTAACCCGCCGAATAGGGGCAGCTGGTTTAGACGAGCCTCTACTACTTCGTGGCCATTAGCACCTGGCAGTCGAGGCAGCACTCCGCAGCCCGTAACTCGAGCGATGGCAGCAAGGGGGTCCCCACTGACCAGACTCGAATCCAATGACGATAACGATGAGGTGTCGTCAACCAGGCGCCGCAGAAAATGCTGCGGTCTTCCTCTGTGGGCCTTTATCGTCATTGTCATCATCGTATTGGGCATCATTGCCGCCGCTATCGTAGTTCCCCTCGAATTCTTCGTCTTCAGGCGTAACCGGACTAGTGCCCCTCCTACAGCAGAGCCGGCTTTATCCCAATGTCAAAACCAGCTCAAGTGCGAAAACGGCGGAACGAATGTCATATCTCAAGGCGTTTGCTCGTGCATTTGTATCAATGGGTTTACCGGGCAGACTTGCGCCGTGGCCGGAGCCACAGGATGCACTACCGCAAACCTCATGGGGAATTCCACCTCGACTAATTTCAGTAATGTCACTCTTGGCCAGGCGGTACCACGGCTGCTTCAACAAGCTCAGACGAACTTCTCAATCCCCCTGGACGGAACCGACATTCTAGCCAAGTTCAACACGGAAAGCCTGTCGTGCATTGCGCAAAACTCGCTCGTCACGTTTGACGGACGCTCGTCTCGCACAGGCACTCCCAGTTCTGGCAGTAATGCGGTAGCCAACGTTGCCATTCCGGTGCAGATCATTACCATTCGCCCCGGGGAAGCGGCTACCATCACGATCGGCATCAACCTGCCCGATGGCCATCTCCGCCCATCGCCAGACATCGTTGGCGGATTCACGACGCTTTCGGGTCCCTTCCGGGTTACAACCATCAGCGCTACCAGCTCGACCATGTGGGCTACGGTCCCTTGGATGTCTACTCCAACAGCGTCTACTCCAATAGCGTCCACCTCAACAGCGCTGCCCGAGACGACGTCCTTCGTGCCTCCGCCGGTGACCACCATTCCGCCGACGAACACCACAGCAACTCCCCAGGGTCCGCTGTTTCCCTCGATTCCGGTGTCTTCCGCGCCAGCGCCCAGCCCTACATTCACGGTTACGGAAGAGACACTTGATTTTGCCCGTGTCTCGGTTCTTCTCATCTTGGAAAAGCAGACCCTGACGGCGGCAACGACGGCACAGTCTGTACTTCAGCGTTTCTTCACCACTGCTGACCAGGGTAGTCGGCAACAAGGTGGCGGAGTCACACCCAATCAGGCGTTGAACGTCACACTTGGTGGAGGTAACTCGGTGGACTTGGTCAATTTTCTTATTACTATACCCGGAGGCGTTCCAGTAGGCAGGACAGTCCGTTGAGGGGACGGCGGAAGGGCTGGAAATCATGGTTGTTGCCGGCGTGTCGACATGTGAGAGGTATGTATATAGTTTTGACGCTTAATGAGGCAACGGGGCGCTCTCCAAAAGAGCGCCCGAGCAGTATGAGAGGGATGTAGGTACGCCGGCCAACCATGTTGTATAAAAGATCCATCTGTGGTTTTTTTTTTTTTTTTTGGGAAGCGGAGGATTTTGGCAAGCGAAGCATCTCGTTCGTGTACGAGTAACGTCAGCGAGGGCGTTGAGAATGGTGGGTAGCCCAAGAGGGAGTGCAGATACCATTGTTATCAATCGAGACATAATCACGTCTACAATATACATAACATCAATTTTTACCATGATTGATAGTTCCCATCCGAATGCTGCGAGGCTGAGTATGTGGACTTTGAATCTGCTGCTCGCGATATCTATTACTATGGAGGCTCAGGAGGATATTGCACCGGACGGGTAGATACCCAAGTCCATCGGGATCGCCGCGAGTGCTTGATTTTACGGAGTCAAGGCCGACCTCTGGTCTCTGATTACCGATTGTCTTGCAATCGCCCGCCTTGGACTCTGTGCCTCGCAGAGTGGTGGCCCAAAACCACCGTCCAAATGAGCGGGAATTGGGAAAGGCAAGAGGAGGGTCCCACAAATGAAGCTTTGGGGTAGGGTTCTGCTTGTGAGTCGGGGGGGGGACATGATGGTAACTAGTGGGTTGTTCGGTCTCCTCAGATTAATTGAGTGGGCGTCTTTTGATGAGGTTCATGGGAAGACGGGTGTGCCGCGGTCTTTTTTGGCCCTGTTGTTGTTCATTGTAGTTTATTCCATGGCCTGCATCCCTTTGATAGGATCAGCAAACTCTTGGCGTCGAAGATGGTCACCGGCGAGGAGTTTAGTTTAACTTGGCAATGTGTCCGTTGACAGGTGACTGAATGACACATTGACACAGTGGTACTCGACGTCTTGGTTGACACAAGAGAGTTTGTCAAATGAGGCTGATGACCCGAGGCTTGAGGATTTGCAGGCCTCTCTCTCTCTCTCTCTCTCTCTCTCTCTCTTTGATATTGAAGAGGTCATTGATGCGGATCTTCTGCTGCTCTCGGAACAGAAAAGCCTATAACCCCCCAGCCGTCGAGTTGGGGCCCGGAAGTTACGATGTGCGGAACAAAGTCGCGCTAGAACGAATCCAGAACAGCGTGTTTTTCCGCTTCTTCTCCAGAACCTTAGTAAAAGACACTTTAAGTCGAGGAAAGTAAGCCAAGACCCAAAGAGAGGGCGGGTTGAGGATTGGAGAGTTACAGGTGAGATGAGGTTCTCCTTGGCTCGCATCGCTATCGCGCCTTGGGAGTCGCCCAACTTGCACGCTGCTATCCCCCCTTTCGACCTTGCTGGGTTTTGGATGCTTGTAACGACTGCACCGTACACTACGGCACCGTCGTCCATGCCCGGCGGCGACTAGACCACCGCTACAGTGCTGATTCTGACCCTGGTTGCTCGACCACTGCCGAACGTTGACACACGGTCGTGAATGGCGGCGTGCCCCCGTCCAGGGGGGCATGTAGGCCGGCTATACCTTTGCAGCTTTTGCAAGGTCTTGTGGATGGAACACAGCCCCGTTGCCAGTAACCACTGACCAGCTCGCCTCTCTTAGCGTGGGGATGCCCCTTTCTAGGCGCAGAAGCGTGTGGGTGTGTGCCAGAGCAAGGGTTTCCGCATTCCCTCTCCCCACCAACCTGTATCCCGTGCCTGGCTGCAGGTGCCGCAGCCTTCCATTTAGAGTGGAGTTTTTATTGTAAGAGGGCAGGGGTCTATGGAAGAATGACGATGAACAAGGCGAGAGAAAGGCGGGTTCGAGGGGCCGTTGTCCACAGAGGGGGTGTGATAACAATGTGGGAAGCAAGACCGAGAACCAGAACTTGTCAGACGGGAGAGTTGATGTCTGTCAGTGGTCGTCGGGTCTTTTGAAACCCATCATCTGTTCTGGACCGCAGGGCCCCGGGCTGTTGTCTGTCGTCTGTCCGTATTACTGATCTGCCGTCAACTTTGCATGTCTGTCATCCATGTCTGCAGTGCACAGAGGATGGGACACAGCCCCCCTCCCATATCCCCGACCTCGAGAGTGATCCGAAAGAGGCTTGACGATGCAGAGGGGACGCGTGCTATCGTGTCGCCAGAGCGGCGCGATGCTACTTTGGCTCTGGCTTCCCTGCAGCCGTAGCTCGCACGCACTCGCCTAGCCTCTAGGAAGAATTAAGGTAGAATCTACCGTAGCCGTCCGTCCCTCCTATCTATCCATCCATCCACACTCGAAACCCCTTGCCAACAGGCTAGAGCCTACGAGCGACGCCCATTGAGGCTGTGAAAGGACGAACCATCCCCGGATGGGAGAGAAGCAAGTACCCTTACCCCCATCAGCGCAGATGGCTGCCGCGGAGGACCTTTGCGAGTTAGTTTTTTTTATTCCCTCGATGTGGCAATGAATAGCAACAGAACCCACTCGGCCGGCCCAGCGAGAGTGGTACACTCTCATCCTGCGGCGGTGGGAAGCTCTGCCGCTCTGCTGCACCACCACCATCTCTTAATCCCGGCGGGCGCCCTGTTGGACCTGACCTGGACATTGCGACTCTGGCAGAGAAGTCGGCAACTTGATTGACTGGTTTTCGACTCGCAAGTGGGCGGGCTGCGCATCCCGGGGCACCCCTTCCTCTGCTTCTCCCTCTCTGCGTCCCTCACTCTCGCGTCTTACTCCTCCTTCCTCACCTCTCACTCCTCTGCGCCGTCCTCTCCCTCACCCTCACCTTGCCTTACCTCACCTCAATCTCATTCGTTCATTACTGCCCATCAGAGGGACTGGCCTTTCGCTCGCTTACTGCCTCGACAATTTCATCCACCTTGAATTGTCATTCCATTCTTTCTCACCCGATACTGCTCATCGCTTGAATTCAAGGCCGACGCCCAATTGAGGACTTCATCGACGCGCAAACATCTCTCTCTCCCCCCCTCTCAGGCTCCTGACGCCAACCTGCCGGTTTGACGCCTTCAGTCCCTCTAGTCTTGTCTTGAAGGGTTTTGGCCGGATTTGGATTGGACTCTAGGCGGCTGAATAACGACGTCCCCTCTCCTGTCCAACTTGATCCCATCTCAGTCCCCTCCTAAGCCACCTTCCATTATCTCTAGACGGCATCACCCCGTAATCACATTGGCCCATCATGAGCTACAACCAGCAAAACCACCACCCGTCAGACTCGATTGACGACGCTGCATACCCCGCCGATTCCAACTATTCCCCGGCCGGCCACCCCTCCAGCTCCATTAGCAATGCCGCATACCCGTCAGACTCGTCCTACCGACCCTCCGACCCGACGATGCCTACCGACGACAAGCTCGCCATGCCCAACGCCCGCTATTCCCAGTCGTACAACACCAGCCTCGGCGCAAACAACGGCGGCAGCAGCAACGCCCAATCGCCGCAGGGCTGGGCTCGGTCACCGACTCACGATCCGTTGCTTGGCGCCTACTCGCCCGCTCGTGGTCCGATAACCCCTTGGAGTCCAGACGGCATGTCCGCCGCGAACCCTAACCTGCCTCCGCCGCCGCCGTATGACGCCTCAAGGCCGGGAACGGGCACGAATCCCCCGACGCCACGAGACCCCGTGTCGCCGAACCCCTCAGAGACCGCGCTCCTCGGCGCGCAGCAACCTCACCAGCAGCAGAACGGGGCGCATCCTCCCCGGCCTCAGAGCAACTATACCGGAACGTCGCAGCAGTCACCGGCGCCGGCGGCTGCGCACCTCGCCGATGCGACGCCGGGACAAGGGGAACGGGGCGGGCCGCGTACATATCTGCAATCCATGACGGGTGGCATGCCGGCCTACGGTAACAACCCTGGGCAGCTTGGTCCCGTGGCGCAGGCGAGGCGGCGGAGAAAGATGAAGCTTGGCATCCTCGCCGGTATTCTTTGCGTCGTCCTGCTGTTCCTCGTTGCGTTGGTGGTGGGTATCTTGGTTGGCGTGGTCAAGGTGAACCAGAAGGACGACAAGCGGCCGCCACAACAGAGTCCGCCGAACTTCTAGGAGTGCGAGCGCGACGTAGCCTGGAACAAGGCAACACCACGATGCGGCCCGGCTTCTCTCAATACGGCTCTTCGACAACATTGCTTCACCGATACCCCAACGTTACATATTCTCTCTCGCCATTTTCTTCTTCTTCTTTGTATTCATACCAATCCCTCAGCTTTGTTCCTGCTGAGTGGTCGATTGAGCGTCGCTGAGGCGGGAGAAACGGGGGAGGATTCGAGAGAGCGGCGTTTAATGTCTTTTGAAAACACGACATGGAGTACAGTCATGGAGGGGCGAACAAACGGAAAGGGAGAGCACCGGTGTGTTTACTACCAGTTTTGGGATTATAGACGAAGGCTTGGCCGCCTCAGAAGGGCGGCCTATGAAACTGAATGATATGAAGCGTCAATTCCAAACCGTCGTATGGGCATGTTCTTCATCCGTGAACCCGGCTCGATACTATGGTACACGGCATGTGCTGACGGCGGGTCGACCGAAGCAAGAGTAAGTGACACCGGGTCTGGTCGAAAGGGAGGACCGCATATGCAAGTTGTCGGGAGGTGAGAGTAAACTTGATTTAAGCCTTCGCTTGGCCGGTTGGTCTGGGGCATGTTAACCCGTCCAGAGTTCGGAGGACCTTGGCCGGACGAAACGCGGCAAACCTGCTGCTCGACTACAAGGACCTGCTCAGAAAACCATCGGACGCAAAAGTGAGGCCAACACCCCCGCGGCCGCCGCAAGCCGCGGTCAAGTTTCCTTTCGCCGAGTGGTACGGAGTTACAATCCGACCAAGGTTTCGCGGAAGGCCCCAGCCCTCGGACGGGCGAGAGCGGCAGGCAAGCCAGAAGGAGACGCGGGCAGCGTCGAGCTCATCGCGGGCGAATCTAGGATGTATGTCACGTCCAAGTAGCTGTGGCAACCGCGCTCGGAAGATGCGAGGGATGCACGAGATCGCGGCTGTAACGTGGGCAGACCCACTCGTTGTAGGATGCGCGTCTGTACGAAGAGATGGGTCACATGTTTGCGATTGTCCTTCACCGCCTCTCGGAAGTGTGTGGACGCGGCTGATTCAAGGGGAGACGTGGACAAAAGACGCGGTCTGGCGAGAGCTGAGTGCCGTTTCGTTCACGGCCGAGCCCCTTAGTGGTGACTCTACTTCTTGGGGGAGGTTAGGAACATCATGGTTAGAGTGACGAGAGACATCACACAGCCGGAAGCGGTTGGACTTGCGGCGCTCGCTGAAAGGAGGGGTTGCTTTATATACCGAGTCGGCTCACTTTGCAAGTCAGGGGAGAGTATACGGGGCCGTGGCAGCCCGCAGTGTCACGCCATGTACAACGCCTGGCAGGGGCCTACTGCTATGATACTCGTATGAATACTTCAAATATATGAGGGACGGGAAAGCGGACTGGTGAGAGAGCGGCTTGATGTACTTCGACTTGTGTCCAGGCGGCTCCCTCTTGGTGAGTATATGCGAACGTCAGGCTGCTCATGGAGCGATGAAGCAGTCATGGCAGGAACGCTGCCGGTTGATATTTAGGTGGGACTTCTGCAAATCCTAGACTTCAGTCGGCATCAAGTATTCTGGCGGAACCACATGCCCGAGTCTCCTGGTTGAGTTAGATGTGTGCTTTTCATCCGGACCTGTACTCCCTCTTTCATCAGCGACATGGTTCGGTTCGATACTCGAAAGCTTTCCCGTGTTGATGGTCTTACATGGCGTTGTTGGAAGGGTATGCGGACGGTATATCCTCGTTTTCTACGTATTTGGCGGGATGAACCAGACAAGTGTGATGCCTGATAGGCACTACGAGAAACTGTTTGGTTGCAAAAGCCGTACAAGGGCTTAAGTAGTTTCACTTTGTCCTACGTATGCCTTCTTCAGCTCTGTTTTGACGTCCGATAGATGACTCCATAGCCCGCATTTGACGGACTGCTCTCAGGCAGAGCACGTCGGCCGACGTGAAGTGCCGAGTCAGGCCGCATGGAACTCGTGGCCATCATTTCGCGTCATGCGTCGTCCGTATGGTCCAAACTAGATAACCGGGGACGGAGAGACATGGCCATGGAAAGAAAATAAAAGGCGCTTCGTTGCTTGGCCGCGCCCTTAGTCTTAAGGTTTGGCCTGAGTACTACCGCGCCTTATGCGTTTAATTTACAAAGATGAACCCCATGTAAACTCTGCCGTCAAGACTGATCACGGCGTCGATCATGATAAGACTGAAGATCAACTGACCTCGCAACGGCCGCATCCAATGTATAGAAATAGGCGCGTACACGATCCAATGCCAAGCGCGGAGACTTGAATGCGCATTGTCAGTCTCACCACAAGAGGCACTTATACGCCTAGGATGTGGTTGGGACGCTTGAATAAAAGTGTCAGCGCTCTCGGGTACACGAGGTTGCTCCCATGCAATTAGTATCATGAGGTTCACCAAAAGCTCTCAAATTTCTATCGACTACCTGACGATACCTTTAGAAACAGACGTATCTGAGCCTGTGTTTTAGCGATATGAAAAGCAAACGATGCAAATCCAAGCTTCTTGTATCGAACTTTTCCGGCGTCATCTCCCTTGGGCTGTCGCCGAGATGGCTCTTGAATCGCGCTTCGTGAAAGTCATCAGCGCCGCCCCCCTTATCTTACAGAATATATCTGGAAACACTAGATATCAGAGATTGGGTCGGTGGGCAACGAGCGGTGAAGATATGGCCATCGGAGTGACCGAAACGTAAGGACCGCCTGCATGGACTAGAGAGAAGTACTGACGGGGGTAAGCCGTCGCACTCCCAGAAGAGAGACCATGTCAGAAACTTGTAGTAATCGTGACGTTGAAGGGTACTCATATTACTTGAGCCGACGAGCCACAGGAAATGAATCCAGTCTTTATCTTCCTATCTTGTATCAGCCTCTTCAAGATCTGTCTCTCCATATCAAGGGAGACACTCCTGGGTAGAAACGACACCGTCATACGAGGCACAACCGACAAGCTTCGAGATAAGTAACTGTTGTATATAACGAGCGCCTATTGACGGCTGATCTTGTTGGACGAGGTACACGGGCGACTCTTGCTACAGGACTGGCCTGGACGTGACAATCGCGAAATGCAACATTTACAGCCTAAACGAGCATGGGTCGTTCTCGCCTTCCGCCCCTTCCCGGAATACGCCGATACATCGAGAGACGGGAAGCCGAAAGGACAAAGGTTTCCGCAACCGGACTTGGCTCGGCGGACTTTGAGACATCAGAGATACGGGATTAGTGATCGGGCATCCAACTCGAGTAGCTAAGGATTTGCTCGGCACAACACAAGTCCCCGTATACCGTCGCGCAAAGTCTGGGGTCTCGCTTGACCTACCGGTAGCAAAGCTTCTCTCGAGTCCGACTTCCAAGCAGTCCATGACCAAGACAGATGCTTCCTGTAAGCGTCTTCCCCACGGGTTCGTTGGATAGGCTCAGCTCCGCCTTGGTGAGTAGGATGCACACAGGGTGCGCAAGTCCCAGCCGCTTTCGACGCCGGGTCGCATCTCCCACGGCAGAAGGATATGGGCCCGGGGCTTGTTTCCTCGCGAAGATTGGACAAGAGTCCCGAAAGTCCGCGTGGCCTGCGGAAGCGCAAAGCTCCTTCCCATTCGAGCCCGACTCGAATGCCAGTCCTGAACATACAAGGCGGGGAAGTGGTGCGTAGCCGAGTCGACGGCCGGGTCGGATTGCAATAGACGGGCCTTTCAGCCTCGGCATCACATTTATACGCCAGACCCGATCAGTGGCGTTGCGGACAGGGAGAAGCCGAGAATAGCAAGCCCGACGAGATGCCCCGGTGTGCATCGTCGCAGTGCTCCCGCACATGCGGTTCCAGCAAGCAGAACAAGGCGTCCAAGTGGCGCGCCCTCAAAAACCGGTCCAGAGGAGTTCTCAACCACGTGGTCCTAACATGGCCGGAGGCGATGGGCTGGGAGGCCGTAGAAGTGAAGATTAATCAGCCGTATCATGGAGGCCGCGGGCTGGCGTGGACTAAATGGTCTTGGAAGATGCGTAAGCTTGTTCCAGCTCGAAGTGGAATGTGGTATGTAAGTTACGGCAGTCACATGCTTTGGCATGGCAGTTCGTCACGATCACATTCCTCTCTCACTTGTCAAAGAAGATGAACAGCAAAGCTTTCGGTATCGTAATGAGGCCAAGAATACCGTCAATTCTCGCCTCTTGGGGAGGAAACAAGACCTCCCCCCAGCCAAGGCCACGGCTGTTGCTAGTCTCGATCCCTTTGCAGGACTGCCACTGTTTTCCGAACGCCCATGAGCCGTGTTCAACCGAAATCTTGGTTTGAAACTTGAAACTCCAGTCCCCGTAGTGTTTTGTTTTGTCTCTGTCTCTGTCCCTATGATGGAAATGGTGAAGATAGAAAGGAAAAAGATATGTCGGTGGTGGGTCTTTGTCCAAAGTCATCCCTTCGTGATGAAGAAAAAAAAAAAAAGCATGAGAAGAAAGTGAGAGGAAAGAAATGAAAGTTATCAATATCACACATGCAGTTCTGTGTGCAGTGCCTAAAAATCCTGCTGCTGCAATGCTCGAGGTAGAAACGAAGCATGCTGTCGTGAATGGGAAATCGAAAGGTCATAAAGCGTACAAGAGGCCGTATCGACATCCGAAGTCGAAATGCTACAATGCCATGAGGCTGATATCGAAAATCGTGAGGGGATATGTTTTGCCGATGGAAACAATATCGTCTTTTGGAATAGGTTGTCATTCCAAATAAAAAAATGTTCGTCCCCTTGCCATGCCAACAAGGACGAGGCCGTGTCTGTTGATAGCATTGCTGCAAGGGCGCCGCCATGACATCAAACCAAAACTGAGCAATGTTCACGCAGCTGAGGATACGCTGCGCAATGCAGCCTGCTTGAGAACAGGGCGCGGCGGATTCGGTCCAAAGTATGACGTTGACTGGAAACAAGAGTGTAGCGCTCACAAAATCACGCATCGGTGGCCGTCGGGACGCCTCCTTCGCCGATGTTTCCGCTTGGCAAATCCCATAAGGCCGGGATTCTTCTCGTTGTCGTGCTCATCGTCTTCGTGGGCGGCCTGGCTTTGGAACTTCTCGTCCTTCATGAGAAGTTGGCGACAGATATCTATGAACACAGCATCGACGTTGGCTGAGAATCAAGTCAGCTAGATATCGGCAAGTCAACTCGTCATGGACTCACTTCGGGTCCTGGCGCTCGTCTCATAGTAGGGCGCATCCCACATTTGTGAGCATGCGAAAGCCCTTTGTCTTGGTACAGACCGCTGCTCTTCCAAGTCGGCCTTGTTGCCAACAATGACGATAGGGACGTTGTCATCATCCTTGATACGAGTGATTTCCTCGCGCAGCATCTCGATCTCGGTCATCGACGAGGACGAGGTGATACTGAAGACCAAAATGAATCCTTGGCCGGACTTCATGTAAAGATCACGCATGGCAACTATATCCAAGATTAGATGGATGCATCACAAAAGGTCCGTGGCTGCTTACCAAACTGCTCTGTGCCCGCAGTGTCAAGACTGTCTCCAGATATTAGATGCGTTGCCTCTCAAGTGGCGGAAAACATCTTGTCACTCACATTTCCAAGACGACTTGGCGTCCCTGCATTGAATGGAGTCAGTGATATGTCGCAACAGGCAGCACCCACATGAAATTAAACTCACGTCAACCTGCAACTGCGTCCGGTATGTGTCCTCAATAGTAGGATCGTAGCTCTCAATCCACTCATTGTGAACGAATTGGGCTATGATGGCGGTTAGTTCACCGACCAGTCGACGTGACTGCAGGCAGCATATCTGAGTGGTGCTCACCTGTTAAACAGCTCTTCCCAACACCTCCTGGAGGAAAGTCAGTTGGATGCACACATGACGACCTGGCTGCTTTGTCGAGGACTCACCAGCGCCCAGCACTACGACGTGGAGCTCGCGACTAGAATGGGGGTCAGCTCACAGTTCCTTGGATGCCAAACGGTAGAGAATCGAATGAGAGCGTACCATGACTGGTGATGCCTGTTCTGGCGTGACATGATGTCTTGAGGTAGTTGCCCTTTCACGGCAGGGCTGGCCTCTTTGCAAAAAGTGAGTGAGTGACTGGCCTTGCTTAAAACGAGAAGGGGTGCCGAGGCGAGTTGGTCGGTCGGTCAGAGGTGCTGCGCTTTAACAGCTGGTCGTCTTCCGCTGAGGAAGGGCCGCCGGGATGGTGGTGACTTCTCAATGGGCGCTTCATGCGGCAAGAGACCACAACAAGGTTAAATAGATTGTTGGCGAGGCGGAGGAATAGGGCGGAGTGGTGCTGAGGTCCGAAAGCCAGGTAGCGAACTCGAGGCTACGGGCTGCCGTGTAAATCTCTCTATATCGGGTGGTGGATGAGCGCGATTTCCAGAGACGCAGCAAGGTACCTGGCATGGACGAAGGAGAATGGCGGGGGGGTTCCGGATGCAATTGTAGTTGGAGCGCAGGAGAGTCGAAGTTTGAAAGTCGGGGGCTCTGGTCAGGGAGCTCTGGGTCTGGCCCGTCCGAATTGATTGGAAGAGTGGGGACCAAAGGAGACCAAGGAGGGAAGGGGGGGTGTAAAGGGGCGGGGAGGGGAAAGGGAGTTGACGGGGAACGGGGGGCGAGCAGAAAATGCAAATGCAGAAGCAGAGACACGGGGTTTTTTTTTTGGCGGAACAGGAAGAAGAGAAGGAGGAGAAAGAAAGGGAAGCAAAAGAAAAAGAAGGCAACATACATAGACCACCCGCCAGGGAAATAGTTAGAGTCCCAACCAGCTCTCTCTCTCTCTCTCTCTCTCTCTCTCTCTCTCTCTCTTTTCTTTTTTTTTCCCTTTTCCCTCTTCCTCTCTCTCTCTTTCTCTTTTTCCATCTCTCCGAGACTACCCAATTAAAGGTCGCTGGTGCAGCGGTTTGTTCGTCTTGTCTGCAAGGGCCTCTTGCGGCCAGGGTGCGCTAGGTTGAGGTACTTTGTACCCTGGACGCCTTCAGCAACTGGAGCCCCGTAGGCAACTCGGTAGCGGTAGCGGTAGCGGCAACCCGTTGTGGGCGTTATGAGGACAGGGACGACATGGTGAAAGGTCAGGCATGGTAGCCAACAGAGCTCCTTGACGGGTACGTACTGCCCCCCCGGAGCTTGGGACAGTTGGAGCTGAAGGAGCGTGAGGGAGGCGAACCACCACTGAAGACCAATCCCGAATGACAGTACGATTACTGCGAGAGATGGCCGACTGAACATGGTTGTATCCAGGCAAGGAGGGTGGGGGTATCAAGAGGTACACAAGAGGCAAGGAGGAGGTCAGTGGCCGTCTATGGTGGCCGATCCCTTCTTTTGTTTTTGTTTTTTTGCTTTGCTTTGCCTTGCCCATAATTGCACGTGTAAACAACTGACAATCTTTGGAAGCATCATCCATAGCGGAAGTCGGGCTTTGGCTGGTGGCTATCGAATGGTGTGCACCTGGAGCAAGGCAAACCAACTAGTCGTTGATCTAGTGCGTAAGGTTGGTTTCGCTTGCCGACTTCCGGGGGATATTTCTGTTCGAAATAGGCGCTTCGGGAAAAAGCAATCAAGAAGCAAAAGGCGAAGCAAGTGAGTAAAGCAAAGGAAGGTCATCACTGTGTGGGCAAAGGAACAAGACCGTTGAGGTTGTTTCTGTCCTGGGACGAAGGAAAAACGAGGCGGCAGCGGGATGGCCACGAGAGCGCTGAGATGTGGTGGTGACCAACGTTGCACACTGCAAGACACAGCCTCCAGGTTGCATGCCGCTCCTGACAAGGATGTCTGTTTGGCGGCAAAGGCAGAGAAAAAAACAAAAGACGAGTCGCAGCTGAGAGGCCAGCCGCAGCGGGTAGGCATACGAAAGGTGATGTAAGTGATGCGTGTGCGCAAGGTACGTGATGGGACGCGATGCGATGCGATGTAGGTGATGCGACTGGTGACTGGCAGGCGGATGGGCAAGTTAGCGGGAGAAGCTTGCAATGCTGACGACTTGGCGGAACGACGGAAAGGCATGTTGATAAATAAAAATAAAAGGCCAGGGGAAAGACGAGGACGAGGAGTCGCGGTATGGACGGGAATGATGTTAAGACCCGCTTTGGTAAGTTGTCACACGGGGAGGAGCCAGAGACCGAGAAGGAGGAAAAAGAGGAACAAGAGAAGGATCTGGGAATGTCTCGCAGCCTGGGTGCCGGATGTCTCGAAATAACAAGAGAGGCTGACGCTACTGTCGGACGCTTGCGTGGTAGCTTCAACGTCGTCGATGGTCCCAAACCCCTTGGGGCAGAGGGGAGGGCGATGTAGCTTTGGTCACTCTGCCGCAGGCCGTGAAGGAAGACCACTGAGCTGACGTTGATGTTGACGGAAGTCATTGGCGTTCGTGTGAAGTGAGCGGGGTTTCGGGGTTTGGTGCTTGAGCGTTGTGCTGATGCGAGTGCCATCGTCCAACGTTCGTCTAGTGTGATTCGATAAGGGATTGCGTCCAAAGGTTCCAGCTTGGCTTTTTTCGCTCCCTTATTCGTTTCTTCCTTGTTTCCTAAAATGGAAGCGTGCCGTTCAAAGTGAAGCCAGGCAGGTCCAACGGATGTTGATGTGGTCGAGGTAGGGATTCGATTTGGCAATCCTGGTAGGCGACATCTCGTTATCCCAACGATTGGCCAAGCGGGTACCCCATTCTGCCCAGATGGCGGCGGCGGCGGAGGATCATTGCGGAAGGTCCAGAGGAGTAAGCCATGGGGTGATTGCTGTTGCTCGCCCCGCGGACGGGGAATAGCAAAGATGGTGGCGTGCCGTCTCTTGGTTGCTTGAGTTGAGGTTGAAGCCGACTGGATAGGAGTAGTGTTGGACCCAAGAGAGGTGCTGTGTCTCACGCCCAGGCGCGCGCTATGGCCCAAGCAGACGAAGCCTTGCGTTTGCCTCGAGCATTAGTAGGTAGGGCAAGCAAGTGCACAGCTGTATCTGTACTTGACATGCGGCCCATCGCTTGGTGGCATGGAACGAATAGCGATCCGTACCTTGGACTTCCAGGGTCGGCCTGCTCAGAAGCCTGCAAGACTGGAAGACGGGGCTCGATCCGAATCTAGCGAGTCAGGGTCGGGCTGCCGGTTACCCAGAGTCGGACTCCAGTGCGATGCAGCGCGCACGTACGCAGCTCCTGCATGAGCGGTGGGACTCTTCCTCAACCGTCCCATGTGGTGAGATCCCTCTCCCAACTCCCATGTGTCTCTAGGAGCCCAGGACTAGGCGGAACCATGGGTTGGGGGGTTGCAGTCGACTAGCAGTGGACGGTTTGTGGGCTCTCGACTGCTGCTGGACCTCTCGGGTGGAAGACAGCGGGCGGTATTGGGGACCCTGGCCGCTCTCGAGCCCTTTTTCGACTGTTGACAGGACGTGTGGTGGATTTCAGGTCGTAGGTGGATTGCCGAGGAGTTGTGTTTTAGCGCACCCCGTGATGTTTCTGTTTCTGCTGCCCCTCCCTTGTAGCTCTGCGGGTGGACACTGGATGGGGTGGGCAGCTGCAGGTGCAAGAGTAAAAAATAAAACAAAGACAAAAATCAATCAACAGTGAAGAGAGGAGGCGGAAAATGATAGATAAAGAACCATCGCAGATGGGAATGGGAAATACTGTCCAAAACCGATGCTGCACAACAGTTGCCGCAGTCAAGTCAGTTGGGCTACAGACCCGCCCCCCAAACCGAAACCTTTAGGAAGGCGGCTGTTTCTGCTTCTGCTTCCATCCTTCTTTCCTTTCCCTCTCTGCCTTCATTCCTTCCATCTCATCCCAACTCAACTGAATGTCACTGTGTCCTTGACTAAACCAAATGTTTCTCTCCTTCCACTTACCTATTCAATCACCGCGTGCCACACGTCTCATCTCGCTCAACGCTCTTACCGATACTCTTAATAGCCTCAACCATAGTTTCTCTCCTCGCACAACGCCCCAGTTATCCCGAGCTGGGGATCCTCACTTAGAGCCTTCTCCTATCATCAGGACATGGATGATGAAGGTGCATTCATCCATTGCTAGGAACCACGTCCCCACAACAGGTTCCTCGTGTCCTCCACAACTCTCCAACACCAAACTTTCACCTCGCCGATATCACACAGCTTGAACCGCCTTAGCTCTCACCTTTTGCTCCTTCTGCCGTGTTGCCATCCTTGTCTCTCAGTGACACCAGGCCAAGGACAAGAAGCACAGCCGCACTCGAAGCAACGGAATGCATGCAGGTGCGATGCCATTGAGGAATCGGCCCTGCATGTATACGGGTACCTTACTTGGAGCTCTTTTTATCTCTCATTTTCGCGCTCTCTTTCTCTCTCCCTCGCCCCCTCCCTCTCTCTCGGGTACCCACACTGACCATCTTCTCTGGACTTCTCCTGCATTGCAGCCTGTCCATGTCAACCCAGGGGCAGGCCATCATGCACTCCATTGAGAAAGGCCGACGTTGGCGTCCAATGCTGCGTAGCCCATGATGGGGTTCTTCCGATCACCAGTCCTTCGGCAACCGCACTGAGAATTTTCCAGTCCACCACCAACCACACTGGGCAACGAGCATCGCTCGCTCGCTCAAGAACCATGTTCTTTCTTCCATCTACTCTACTTCTTCCGAGCTTCCCCCCTCGATACTCAAGAGTGTCGCTCAACCAACACAACCTGCCAAGCACACCCCTGGACCCATGATAGTCACTCACAGTGTCCTTAGGCGAGGATATGTTACGGGCATGTCTACACCCGATCCCCTCGGGAGGACGCCTCAGCAGACGTCCATCCGCTGACCCTGCTTCGGAGCCGAGGCAATGGCCGTGAACATATCCCCCATTGGATGAGCTCCAGTTCCCAACATCGCAACGTCGCGACATGTTCTAATTTCCGGTCCAATGAAACCAACCAGTCTGGCGCCTCATCCGGACACCCAAGGTAGACGTAAATCTACAATGCTGCGGGGGGGGGGGGGGGGGGGGGGGGGGGGGGGGGGAGTCAATTGATCGGTAATTCGCCAATCATGTCAACCAAAGGCTCTTTTCCGCCATCGTCTCGTTGTCCAAGGATACAGGAAAAGGATGCTCTCGCTGAAATAGCCTGATATCGACTCCTTAACGAAATTGAGCCCCTGCATCTGTACCTGCGAACCGACTGGTGGGATTCCGGGGTCCCCAGAATCCAAGCCGCAGATGCAAATGCAGACGGAGTTTCGTTGCTCGACGCGCCCCCCCTCCCGGCCACGCCATGGTCTTCGTCACAGCACCAATTCCGGCCCGGTAACGGCATCCAGTGACGACAGCAAGAGACTTCAACTATGGCTAATTCCTCATCGCTATGCCTTCCTGACTTGAGCTTATGGCCCGAACCCATCTTGTCCTGCAGCTAGTGCAAGAGCCGATTGTCTGCTATGGCTCAGGGCCTCTTCGTCATCGTCACCTTCTGTTGGTCCTCGAGAGCCCCAAGTCACGATCATCTGCAAGCCATGCAGGGTAATCTGACCCAGGAGCCAATCCCTACCCTCCTATCTCCGAGTCGCTTGACACTTTTCTCAAAGGAACAGGCTTTGCTCCAACCGGCGAACCGGTCTGCTGGGTTACGGACTTGGCAAAGGGCGTCTGGACCATGGCCTAATTCACATTTCCTATATGAGCTGTCAACCTCGCTTCTTGGGCTATACCCTGCTTGCCTCCTGGCCTCGGTCATTGCAATGTTGTCGATGGATACCTTCCAACAACTTTGGTACGATTACAGTCAGCATTGGCATTCCCAAGTGCTTCTATTCCAACAGCCAGAACGAAATGACTATCCATCCCCCTCAGTCGCTTCTGATCGATTCTGCCACTCAAGGGCTCAGACCATACCGCTATCTTTGCCATCTCACCTTTCCACGTGGCTGAGATGAGACGGACTGAACCATTACACTAGTACAGACCACCTTTAAAGTTTCAGGCAGGAAATCTAAATCCTCTGACCACCCCAACCAAGACAATGCGACCACAGACCGTCGATCGCCTGATGCTTGGCCCCCAATTCTTGGTCCTTTCGGCTTCATCTTGGAAGTGATGCTACATATTTGTTCTGGCAAATTGTCGCTGATGCTGAAGCCGTGGGAAGTGATGTTCCTCTTCTTGTCGTCCACTTGTCTCTATGGCAGAGCAGGACGGCCATGCGCCAAACACAGGGTTCAGTGGTTCGCCCCCATGTTGGACGCCGCACGCCCATCGGCAGCCTCTGAGAAATGCTAGGCCAGCCCAGACCAGCACTACCACGGGGTTCCCAGCGATGCAATGCGGAGGATCTGCAATCACACGAGCTAATCTTCTAGTTCAGCGTGAGGATCCCCGCCAAATATCTCACTTCCCACTAACTGTCGCAACGCTCAATCTTCCTGTCCGGCACACTCTATCAGATGTCTTTGTCGCAAATGGCTTACTGCCGTCCAAAAACCGGTTCTTTTCTGGGTACACCATGCTGATTAGCGCAACTATGTTGGGGGTTTCGGGGCCCGAGCAGTTAGAATCCTCGGCTCTACAGCTCGAGCCCTCATGAACACAAGTCGCGGGGTCGCCATCGAGGAAAGGGCGCCAAATAGGCGATCCAATCGAAGACACCCAACACGAGCTCGGGAAGCGCGGGTTCTCAGGCGAACGCCTCCGGCGTCCGTCACTGTACCACGGGTACCAAAGTGTCTTCGGCTCAGCTCTTGGAGAACCGGTCGCGGCCCGGCGATGGCATTTTGACGAACGACTGCCCCGACAGGCCTTGACGCTGTAAGTACTTACTGCTCGAGGACGAGGTCTTCGTCGCCATTCGTATCCGGGCCCGAGGCGCTGGCCTTTTTCTGCGTCACTATGCCGTCTCGGAGAAATCCTTGTCGCCTCGCATTCCTCACTCATTGGAGAATACTTCCGACGAAGCAGGTGGCCGGTTGTCTGTACGACCGGTAACGCACGCCACATGCTTCACCTTCACGCGCCGTCGTCTAGATGCTGCCGCAGCGGTCTGAAGGAAATTCGAATGGGACGGCATGTCCATCTCGTGGAATGAGGCTCACACGTCTTTCGGAATTGGCACGCCCACGTGCAGCGCCGATCTTGCACCTGAGATCCATGCACGTCGCGTGGCATGCCTTCGACTCCTCCAGGGCATGGCCAAGCCAAGCTCGTGTCCGGATTATGGGTCGCCATGGAACGTACAGTAACCAAAAATGCGACGATTGCCACGTGAGTCTGTTTCTATACCTAGATACGAGACGGTCGGATGCCAGGATTGGTTCAACGTGTCGTATCGTCTGTCTGCACATATGACAGGGGGAGTCCGGACGCCGTCCTACCTTCCTCGACCGGCCTGGTTAAGTTCTGACATCGTGATAAACGTCGCTGGGTGCCGCAGCCCCCACGCCATCTCTCCGTGAGATAAGGCCCACGACGAGCCTGGTATCAAGCCGCAGATACCCAAGCAAGGATGCCAAATTGGTTCCAGAGAAAAAGGACGGGTTTCTCTGACGAGACAATGGACTAGAACTGATTGGCCTTGGATTCGCCGGCCCACCGCATCCGGCTTGCAATGTGGCTACAGTTCTGGCTCCGCTCCGCAATCGACCCGCCCCGCTCCAATCCTCACTCCTGGACCATTGAGCCCCAGCCCTAATATACACACATCCATACTTGTTTTTCAACAAAACATGGTCTGGTGGTGTAGTTGGTTATCACGTCAGTCTAACAGCTCGAGTCAATTCGATCTGGGCACACTGAAGGTCTCCGGTTCAAGTCCGGGCTAGATCATACCATGGGCGATTGGTTTAGTGGTATAATGACCGCTTAGCATGCGGTAGGTCCAGGGTTCGATTCCCTGATCGTCCATCTTTTGCCAGTCGCATTAACAGCAATAATGGCTGTATTTTTTTGGGGTGATATATTGAAAGCTTCATGAGAAATTCGTAAGAGTTGTTGGTGAGAGGCGGAGGCGCGTAGGCCAGAGGGAAGCCGGGCCCTGACAGTGTGCTTTGAGAAGGAACACGTTGGAAAGGTCAAAAGCTTAAAAGCTGCCAGAGACAATTCATGTAAAATAAACCAAAAACAATTGCAGTCTCTTCATCTTGGCCGACGGTCAAATAGGCTTCGTTATGAAGCAGATGGATGATATTCAATCGTAAGAATACCCCTCTTGGGAAGTGATGTTACGGATTTTATGTGTATTGCTCAGTCTTGCAAACTCCTAAAATAGAATCCTCGTTCTTATGACTGTTCTAGAGAGCATTGGACGTAGATCTACTTCCCTCCTGCCCCTGCTTGGCTTGCTTCTCCTTGCGCAATGCCTCTCGCAGTCTTTTCATGGCGCAGACCGGCGCAGCTTGCCCTGGTGCGCTTTATTGCCTCTTATAGCGTTTGCTGACTTCATAACCCTCAACCGTTGCGTTTGCACCTGTGTCGTCGGACCGTCCCTCATCGGGTGCGACTCCAACTGTATCGACCCTGGTGTCGTTCTCAGTAGCTAGGTACTCCTCGTAGGTGCGGGCATTGCTCTTTTGGCCGGTGAGGACATCGGCGTAGTCATCGAGGATCTCAGCATCGTGCTCTTCTCCACCGGATTCGTGGCTTAATAGTAAGCTCTCGTCGTCGAGGGTGACGTCTTCTGAGTCCTGGTCCAAACCAGACAACTCTGCATTCGAGCAAGACCGGTCGCCGTCGTGAGTACTCGCCTCGGTGTCTTCTCCGTGGTCACTACCCGAATTCTCCTTGTACGCGGTCTCCGTCACCTTCTTCGCTATGGCTTGACGGCCCGCGGTGGCTACTTCGTTGTCCCGGCTGCTTGGGACTGCTTCTTCGGCCCAACTGACTTCCGTGTCGTTGAGGTGGTCGTAGATGCCCGGCATCGGCCCGAAAGTACTGTCCCAGTATTCCATTGCCAATTGTCGCTTATACTCCTTCCATGCTTTTCCGGACTAGATAGATGTCAGGGTGATCTCTTGATCTCGCTTGGTAGAGTCGGAAACTTACCTCTGTTTCCTTAACCCATTTACTGAGCTCGGCCTCCATGCGAAACACCGCGAGGCGAGCCTCTCTGCTGACACGAGTGGGTACATTTTGCAGTGTATCTCGTATAAATATGCCAATGAGCTGTTGCTGGTCCCTAAAACAATATTGACGCTACTATCTCTGGTCCTCTTCGAGGGGTTTCGATGTAGGTCTGCTCCCCCTCATATGCTTCCCTTGCTTTTGAGTTGTACTGGCTTGAAAGCTCCCCTTCGGTGCTTGACCGTCCGCTTTCATGCACGCCTGTGTCGATGTCATCAGGCCTCACTGACTGATGGAGGGGTTGGATACGTTCGAACAGTGTCTGCATATTTGCCAATGTATGAGTATTTGCAGCACTGCTCAACCTACTCTATCATCAGCCTGCGTATATACAGGCTAGGACCCTCTTGATATAAAAAAAGGCTAAAGCCGATTGATCGAGAAATCAGGCGGCCTCGGCATTCTGGAACCGGACTTCGAACCCGTGCCTGGTCCCTACGATCACCGAGTTCATGTCCATTAGCGTAGACCCAGGAGCGGACGCAGCCCTAAGCAGTTTATACAATGGTTTAGTCACCACAGCCCTCGATTCGACCTCCCAGCAAGAAATACGATACGGAAGAGGTCTATCTTGAAGGAAGATTTGGCAATTTGGGAAGGATGCTGTTTGGAATGACATGGTTCAATCAAGATACCAGTCACGGGATGGCGGCAGATTCTCGAACGGCCCAGCTCTATTTATAGAAAGTCATCTGGGCATTAATTTCAACCCAAAATAGGGAAACCTGGTGGTTATGCTGGATGCCTGCAGTTGTACCGCAGCTCTGTATGAACCGGTCAGTCCTCCCGTGGCTTCTGAGCCGAATATTATCAATATGTGAGTTTCTTGACGGGACTGTGCCCTATACTTGAGGCATTGAAACTTAGGGAATTAGTCCGCATGATTGGTTTAAGACTGTATTAACCTATTTTATTGAGCGTTATCTGTAATTCGGAAGGTATTCACATTTATGAATCAACCATATCACTCTCTTAGAACAGGGCTAGCTAGGTGGAAGTCGAGATCAAGCAACATCAATGTTACTTCGCGTCTTGGTATTCCCTTGAGTCAAGGCTAAAATTGTATCCTATTACTTGCAGAATATACATCAAACATCATGAATGTATTCATCACCAATGCTAACTGCCATGCCGCAGTTCGACCGCGTTTGAAGCCATTCAACATGAGGCTAAACGCAAAGACACCGCTTTCTTATTTCCCTCAAACGTAACACGTACAAAAGCCTCCCGCCAAGGTCTACTGCACTGTCATCCGCTCCTGACCTGATTAAGCCTAGCTATGTTCGGCTCCAACTCCAAGGCAACCCAACACGCCTAAGAATATCCCTCTAGTATTAATCATTTCCTCAAATATTTGAGTTATGATAGCCCATTCCACGCCGCAAACACGCCCGCAAGTTTCATTGCAGTGGAAACCGTGCCCTCTTACACTCTCGTGCTACAGGCAACCATAAAGTGGGCAAAAAGGAGAGAGGGTCGCACGACCGTAGTCGGGGCTGCACCGGTGGAGGTTACGCACACCCCGGCCCCACCCATCGGACCGGGGCCCGGATCGCCGACATGCGCGCCTTCCTCCTAACCATACGCAAGATAGGCAAGACGGGACAAGAGAGAAAAGAAGAGGAAGGGAGTCCAGACCGACGGCCGCTATCTCCACGCTCCTGCCCACCTCGACACCCTCCGGGCGATTAAGCGAACCAAATATTGGAACGCTGTGAGCTGTCACCGGCCACCACACATCATCTTCTCTTCTTCAACGGTCTTCAAAATGCTCATTTCAAGCTGGGTGCATAATGCATGCAGTACTCGCCCTTCAGAAATCGAACCGATCAACTGACAGAGTTTGGCCTACGGCACAATCAGAACGTGACAGTTTCCTCCCTCCATTCCGCCGTTCCTCCGTCTCTTCCCCTGCCACTCTAACCAGCTTTGGCGGGCTACCTCGGTTCCAACTCTCTCTACAGGTACTTACCATCCTCGACTTGTACACACCACTAGCAACCTGCGCTTCATTTTTTGAACAGCCCCCTTGTCTTCGAATCCTACTCACCTGCTCTCACCGGTCTCGTTCCGTCCCTAGATGCTGCCCCTCACCGGTGAGGCCAACCCTACTAGCTACGTCTACCACCACCCCTTTCACGAGCACTCGCCAGCGATCGACCAACCACACTCTGTCTGCACCCTCTTCCATCCAGCGTTTCGATCAAGTCAAGGCCCCGTCTCGGGAGACACATGGAACGAGAAGAGCCGTTCCATGCCGTCGCGCCGTCGCTGGCGCTGGTTCTCATCCCCCCATCCTCCAAAGTCCCCCTTCCCACGCGTTACCAACTCCAAGTGGCTGCTGCCGTCTGCCACACGACACAACTCGAAAATGTCGTTGGCACGCTTTCATTCGTCCACCGCCGCTCTCTGCCACACCGAGGACAAGTCGGCCTAGAACACGTCAGAAAGCGACACGGGCGGCCAGTCGCGCAACAGCTCGCCCATGCCCACGCACCCGGCGTCTGCGCCGCAGGGCAATAGGCCCTGCAGGATCTCTCCCGGTCAAGCCATCTGCAACCTGCTCTTTGCCTTTTCCATGTTTCTTTCATGGTGCAGTTTCTTATCAATCACGTCACTCCGAATGCTGGCCAAGCACCTCACTATAGTGGCTGTCTCGTTATCTGGGGCAAGGCTTCTATGACGACCTGGATTCATATGACCACTTGCGGGATGCACTTCTCGACATCGTCAACATCCTACCATAACCGATGTGCACATCGAGATCTTTCATCGTGCAAGTGCCGGCATCCCACATTCCCATTCCCCGAGGCCACCGAAGATTTCAGATGCGCGCGCGCCGAGGCATGCCAACGCAGAGAGTACGCCCCAGTGCGCGGCAGTGGCTTTCTTTGCAAGGCCGACCACCAGCACCACTACCATCTCACCCCGGCAGCTTCAACCTGCGACTCACATGCGTCAAGTCGGTGGGAGTCTTCACACCCCCAGCCAGCCCTATGGCGACCAATGGCAACGGCTCCAAATACGACTCCGGCCGAGGAATCAGCCCACCATTACTCCACACCCAACTAGCCATCACCCCTCTAGATACTACACAACCACCACCACCACCCCTGCTTAAGGTGGATGTCTTGAGTACATTACAACATCGTAGCAAGCCGCATGTATTCTATAATGAGTGCCCACACCGGTTAGCCAAGTTTTTAGACATGCTGCTTTTGCAACCTTCACAAAGTTGGTAGTTGGTCGCTTGCTTTCTCCAAGTATACGACAGACCATGTCGTCTCCGGTGACGACTTCTTTCTACCAGCATAGAGCTTCAGTGCAGTGTTGCAAGCGCACTGGTGATTGCTGTACAGTACTGAGACTTCATCTGGCGAAGGCAGCGCACCCATACGAAAATGCTTCTTCCATTTCATATCGGCGAGTGTTGCTTGTTGCGTAACTCGAAACCGACGTATCATCTCAGGTGCCGTCAACCAGACCCCTCTCGGGGTTGCGGCTTCGGAGGTAGCTCCGCGCCTAGTGTTGACGAAGCCGCCTCTTCCAAATTGCGCCTCAGTTTCTTACAACACCAGCATTCCTTCAATCTTTTTTTCTTCTTCTCCTTTTTCGTCAATGGACCTCGTTCACACCATTGAACTTCCCTTTCACTCTTCCGGCCGAGTTATCGCTCGATCGATCCCACTAGCCCACCAGCGCTAGGAGTATAGTTACCAAACCCTTCACCCATGCTCAACCCACGATCACTGGGTGTCAATATCCACACATCCCCGATAGTCTAGTGGTGTGGATATTTGTTTGTAATTGAATATGATTGGTTCCCCGTCGAGGAGGTTCTTTTACCGTCTCTGGGATTACTTCTGAACTAGTCAAGCATATTTGTGAGCAGAAATGGTGTTGGGGACGGTGGTGCTGATGAAGGAGTGTGTACGTCGAACATTGTTTCCGCATACTAGTCAGTCTGTGATGCATCAAGAGCCCCAGTCTCTGGCACAGTTCAACTTGGCCGTCATCGGTCTGCGGTTAAAGGATTTAAAAAAGAAACACAAAATTCTTGGAGAACTAGCGAGGGTGGAGCGGGATGATGGAGAGACCGGATGAGAGAAGGGAGGGCAACCAGATGAAGCATCCGTCTCTTATGTTAGATGGAGCATGGCAGACGGGACGGAATGGGACAGAGCACGATGTGACAGATGCCGGGCGTTTCTCGTCCGGTGCAGATAAGCAGCCCCTTCTAGACCTGTCGTGTCTGCCAACTTGCAACTTGCCCGGCTCCGACTCAGAAGTGCCGACTGCAAAAGCGCGCAAACCCTGCCAGGACGTCCAGCAACCAACACCCCGAATGTGGCCGCGATAAGCACACCCTGCAATCCGCATGCGAACACGCCAAGACCCAGAAGAAGAGGAGGAGGAGGTCAGAAACGCGAAAAGGGAGAAAAGAAAGGCGCGTTGGGCTGCAGTGGACCCCCGTCTCCCACTTTGTTCCAGCGCGTCCGTTTTTCTCCCTCGACTTTCTCATTCCCCCGTCCGACGGTCCTCGCGTTTTGCTCTTGGTCGGGCCCTTTTTATTGTATTTTGTATCCATGTGTGTGTAGTGTGAGGTACCTTTCCCGTTCTCTTCACGTGGATCGCCTGGGGTAAAACAAGGCGAGGCCCTCGGGCGGCGAGTGTCACAGTTACAGTGACGGTAGCCCTCTTGAGCCAGGATGGCCCCCCGAGGGGGTGCCGTCGAGGTGGCCAAGGCAGGGGCCATGAGGACTGGCCGACTTATGGGGCTCTTCCGGGGCCCTCACACACTGTCTGGACCGTCTGGTTCGTGCCTGGCTATCAGCGGGGCCCGGGTCGTCCACTCGCCCACCAACCTTTTACCCGCCCACCGGATCGTGGGTCCTGGATCGTCATTCAGCATCTCACAGAGACACGACACATGGACGCAAGCATGTCACCGAGCAGTGGCTACTGGTACGTAGCCGCCCAAACGTGTATCGGCAAATCATGAACTCCTTTCTTGGCCTATGAGAATCCCATAAGGGGGTATGTTCGCTCTCTCAATGTGAAATAAAAAAATCAAAGCAGAAACCGGCAGAGAGGGGGGAAAACGACAGGTGAGATGAAAGCCAATAGAAAAAAAAGAAAAAAAAAAGGAAACATAAGAACGCCAGGGAGGACGAGAAGGCTCGTCTCGTCTGGACGTCGTTTCCCCAATTCCAACCCTTTGTCCCGCAGCCAAACCCATGGATGTGATGATGAGGTCCTTTCCGTCTTTGATGCCAAACAGTAACCCCGATGAATGCGAATCCGTAAAGTTTGTGTGCGTGTGTGCCAGACAGTTCCCATGCAGCCTTGCCTCCCAAGCCATCCCATCCATCCAGTGACGGTCTTGGCCTGGCCTGGTCCAAGGACATGCCCTACCATCAGGACGTGTCGACGCCAGGCGGCTCGTCGTTGTTCCGTTTCGTCTCCCGTCTCATCCGCCTTCTTTTGACCCGTCCCTTTTTATGACCCATACGTGTGCTGTGCGCGCACGAAAACGACAATTCTTAGACTCCCATGCCTCTTTTTTTTTTTGTTTTTGTTTTTTTTTTGGTTTGGTTTTGGTTTGGTAAGGATGCTGTCGGACCAACTAATCCATTCGCTTTCTTCTGTGCTTTTGGGCAAAAGTGTTCTCTTTTGGGTGAATTCATGCCATGCTCCCAGGGCCAACACAACGCTTCCCCTCCACACCCCAGTCGCCAATCGCTTTGCTCGTAAATGTTTCAGTCTCATGAGAATCTTGACCCCGTTACACCAGATCCTCAAAATGCCTTGCAAAGGCATCGACGAACACGTTGAACCCAGAAACTCCATCCTCGAGTCGTTGGCGCGGGGTATTTGTAGTTCAAGCAGATTCCCCAAGTTCGTCTACCGTAGTAAATATCCGATCCACGCGCCATGCTGAATGAAAGTAAGGAAACCCCAGACCGGCGCCTAATGTAGAGAGAGAGTAAAAGAGAGGGGGGAAACTGCTGCTGCTAAAAGAGAACCTCCACCTGCCGCATCTTTGAACCGAAGTGATCATAGGTTGAACGCCCACTGATGATGTTCTTCCAAGCTCATCCGAGAGCGTGGATGAAGTAAACAGCATGACTCCGGTGCAAAGTGCCGCAATAGACGAGTGAAACAGGGGGCCTGTCGCTCAGGGCCGAAAGGGAATCGTATTTAAATCGAGATAGGTGGTAATCAAAGAAAAAATGACAGGTGCCGGAAGGGGGAAAAAATCAGATGCCGATGTAAATGCTTATGCGCCGAGCATGTCGAAAAGCACCGCCCTTGGGGCCGTTCAACTGTCGTCCGACTTGCCTTGTTGCCGTGTATCCATGCTTGAAACACCGTAACGCCAGAAAGTCTCGCCATGTTGCGTTTGAGCACCGTAGAAGCAGGCAGTCCTGGCCCGTTCATGGTACGTCTACCTACCCAACATGTGGGGCGGCAGGTAATTCGAGTTGTTGCCGTTCATCAGGGAGCCAGGCCCACCAGCCGTCATGGCACTGTTGTATCCGTTCCAGACATTGTTGTTACCGCTTGCCGGGAAGCCGGCAACGGTATAAGACTGGGTGCCAGAGTTGCCGTTGTAGCGTCCCGCGCCGAGACCGGGGGGGGCGGCGAGACCCGGAGGAGGGCCGTTGGTAGTCTTGAACCCGTTCGTGGACCCTGCCATCATGCCGCTCATTGGAGAGGTTGCCGGACCCGGGGTTTGACCGGACCTGACGCCCAGCGGGTTCTTTGAAAAGCTCAAACGGATGCCGCCTTTGACGCTGTTGTGCAGAGGGTGCCCGTAGAGTTCGTGGAGAGCCTTCGTGGCGAAAGATACATCCTCAAACTCCACAAAGCACATCGGTCCGTTCTGCTTAGTCCGGAAGCAAAGTCGCTTGTACCCTCGTTGCTTGGAGAACATGGCTTTCAACTCCTCCTCGGACGTGTCGATGGGCAGGTTGCCCACGTATAGCGTGTTGCAAGGCGGGTTCTGATCCGCAGGGTTCACTGGCGGGAAGTTATGGCGGCCGTACGGGTGGTTACCTCCCATGGGGAATGGCACGCTGTGCGGACCTCCGCCCATGACCGTGGGCGACATAACCGGATGGGCCGACATCGCGCTCATCCCTTGCTGGCCATACTGCGGAAGTGACGACGGGCTTGGTGTCGCGCTGGTGTTGAGGGATAGGCTGGCCAGACGCGAGATGGGTAGCTGTGGGGCGGTGGCCCTTCTCTGGGCGGTGGCACCGTTTTCCGCGTAGGCGACTGGGTCCTTCAGCAACTCGCCCGTCTCGTCGTCGTCAGCGGCATCGTCGTTGATCAGAGACTTCCCGGAGATGCGCGTTCGCTCTGTGAGATGGTTTCCGATAGGAGACTGGGGCGAGAACAGGTTCTGGTAGTGCGCGCTCGACTCCGGGTTCGGCAGCTCGCTGGAGCCATAGATGCCATTCATGGGCGGCGAGATCTTCTCGAGGGACTGGAATGCGCCGTTGAATCGGGACGGTTGTCGTGAGGAAGGAGCAGAAGAAGCAGCGGAGGAGGCGGTACTCGACGACCCGGTCCCTGCGGGCTCGGCGTATCGCCTCGGTGCGGTCGGGCTACCTCCCAAAACCTCAACAATCATGTTGGCATCGTTGGAAATGTTGGATTTCCCGTCCAACATGTTTTTTGCCTCGATCGCACCGTTCGCAGTTCTGAACTTCAAAATGGCCGACCGGAATCCCTTGTCCTCTGACTGATCCACGGGTAGCACTTCGACGTCGACCAGTTCCTTGGACCAAACCACCATCAGGCGAAGCGATTCCTCCGAGGTATTCAGCGGAAGACGACGGATCAGGACCGAGGAGGCGACGGGGCCAGAGTTTGCGAAAGGGGTACCGACAGGCTTCGTCGCATCGCGCTCAAAGGGATTGGCGGACGAAAGGAATGGGCCTTGTGTATTGGACGACCTAAAAGGTTGCGATTGTTGTAGAAAAGCAGGCGCAGCCATGGCGTTCTTCGTTGCGGTTGTTGTCGGTGGGAAAGGGCTGGCGCGACTCGATGTCATGTCAGGAAGTCGGGTTCGATCGATGAGACTGTAAATGCGCCTCGATCACCTTTACTCGCCGGTCATCCGCCGGTGGTGCGGTGCATGCGCTGGCGCGTGGTGCCTCGGGGATTGCGTTGGAATTGTTATGAGAAAGGGAGAGATACAACAATCGCGCAGATCGTAGACGAAAGGCTCAGGTAAGCGGGGACAAGAGTGCGGATTGATGGGCTAAGACGCGATAAAAAAATTATCGAGTGTTGATGTCGGTTCTTGATGCGCGACGAGACACAGGGTGAGGAGAAATGCAGCCTGCTACGAAGGGCGATGTAGAAAAGTTGGGGGGGGTGAGCCGGGTTTTGGGGAGGGGGAAGGAGATGGAGCGTGCGAGGGAAGTGCGAGATGAGCTGTCGCAAGGTTATGTATCGTGCCTTAAAGTTCGGAGAGGAGGGGGAGGAAAGAGCAGAGTGCCAAGGTACCGCGCAAGGTGGTGGTTGTATCGATGGCAGAGGGATGGATGTAAAGGCAAGGTGTGTTGGTGGAAAGTGTGTGAAGTGAGGGAAGACCAGGAGGAATGGTGTGCGCGCCTTGATGGGTTGAGTTGGGTTGGGGTGCGGTGCGGTGCGTCAAGACAAGACAGGACGGACGGCTGGCTTGCTTCACTCCAGGAGCATGGGGGAGCAGCGCATGTGGTGGTGGGTGCTGGGCCGGTTGCTGGTTGCGTTCGAGAGTCGGGTCGGTTCTGGGACTGAGACGGGCACTTGGGTACCGGCGCGCGGTAGGCCTGCAGCATATGACAGGGTAGAGCAAGTCGACCTGCCGGGGCCTCTCGAAGCTTGATGGTGACAGGTACCCAATAGGACTACATCCGCGGGTGGGTTGACTCAAGGACTAGAGCCGAAAGACGACTAAGGTAAGGTCGACAGCACGACTACCGTGATGGGGGGGACTCTGCTCTGGGCTGCTTTGGGTCCAGGTCGGGAAAAGCAGAGGAAGCAGGGGCATAATCTGATTGTGAGCTTGGGCGAACTTGTCTGGTCGAAGGGGGGTTTAAAGCGGGCGGAAGTGCGGAAGGATGTTGCAGGACAGCGTTGTCGTTGTCGACTTATCGTGTCGGAAGTTTCTGGGCAGCGTGAAGCATCAAGGAAGGTAGCGTGTAGCCCAGGTATGTCAGAGGTGGTACTTTGGGGGGACCCAAAAGATGCCGGCGGACGATGGGAATTGCGAGATATCGAGGGAGGCGCAATGTACCGGGCCAGTAAACTGGACTGGGCTGCGCGACGCGCTGAGTGGGTTTGGAAGCAGAGTCGGTGGTGGTGGTGGTGGTGGCTGCGTGGCCCCGGGGGCGTCGACGGTGTTTCCCTTGGGGAGTGGTGGCCCTTGTTCGAGCTTTTAGATTGATTCTAGTCCAGCCTAGTCCAGTCGCGTTTGGACTTGGGACTGGAGGGTGGGAGGGGCAGGGAGGGAGGGAGGGGGGAGTGGAGGGACAAGGGATGCTCGTGCTATGGAGTTCCAATTGCGCCGCCGCTGGAGCACTTGGGAGGGACGTATCGTACCAATCACAGGCTGATCGCGTAAAGTTGGAAAGCGTTCGGTGTGGGCTAAGGCAATGCTAAGGTACTTACATGCTTTTTTGTGTACCTCGCCTGGGTGGAGAGATGCGACCACCTCGATGAAGGTTCTGTGTAAGTGACTAGCTTGTCGCAGGCCTGGCCTCGAGAGTGCGGTGCAGGTAGCGGTTGCGTTATCTCCGTCTTTGCCTTGGAACCCTGCGAACCGTCGTCACTAGCTCGTCGTTGTTTCTTTGAGCACCTATGCTCGATGTCGACCAAGATGGCAAATTGTCTCGATGACTTCTGTCTGCTTGTGCTGTGGCGCTCGGTTCGGTGGGGAATGCGCGACGTTCGGGTGTGAGCTTCCAAGTTCTGCCAATGTCCCTTGAGAAATTGGGGGGGGGGTGCAGAAGCTGTTTGGTAGAAAGAGAAAAAAAGTACCGTGCTCGGGGACGAATCTCTGTCATGATGGTGGTGGTGGCAGTAGTGGTAATGGCAGCCGGGGAGGAATGGATGGATGGGGATGGAACCAGAGTGGGAGGCAGAAGACAGAATTAACCTGGAGGGCGGGACGGAGAGGCTAGCGGGCGGGCGAGCGAGAGCAAGAGAGACAAGAGAAGGGGGGCCCCCTGCCGGTGCGTCTTCTTGCTGGGTGACCGGATTCCTTGGTGGCACAGCCTCTAGAGGGGACAACGGCGCCAGGAGAGAGCGCGGATTGGCTGGAGATGGTGGTAGCAGTGCGACCGGGCTCAGGGGTCTTGTAGACTTTCGGCGATCGTTGGCACCGTTTGAGGGCTGGTGCTTGCCAGGAGGCGCGTGTGATGGTGGTGGTGGTGGTGTCTCTGGGCTGGCTGTCTGTCTCGTCTCTGGCAGCGGTCCGTATGGCGGTAAAGATGCTGCGCGTGTGGTGGTGTACCTAGGTATGCAAGTGTACAATGAGGTACGTGGAAGAACGTGCGGTCGGAAAGACCTTTTTCTCTTTCTCTCTTTCTTGTTCGTCTCCGTAGCGTGCGAGCGCAAAAAGCGTGTGTGCCTGTGTGGCAGAATGACGCAGACACCCCTTCAACAACTGTTTGTTCGCTCGACCATTCTTTGGTTTTGGCGGAAGTTGATCCGGAAGACGTTGCGGGATTCAACGTACCTTCGGCGGGCCAGGCACCTTACCAAGTCGGGCTGTATCTGGCCGGGAAGGCACACATACACTACATGCACGTACTTACATGGTGTAGGCACGCCGTAAACGAGGGGAAGGAAGGCGGGAGACAGTGACGCCAAGTGGGAGAGAGGGGAGTGGATGATGCTGCCCCAGGCCAATATCGCGGCGTCGGTACTTTCCCTTTCTTGCCAACGTCGTTCCTGCCGTACCTACCAACGCTTTCCCTCCTTGCCAATCTGAGTTCAGGGAGACGGCTACTGGGTGGAGTCGAGGTTTTTCGAAACAGGGAAAGAAGGAACACCGCTCTGTGATGTACAGGTATGTATGTACTGCACGGATGGATGCAGGCAGTTCTCGAGGGAAGGGATACATGTTACTGTAACGGCATTGGGCGAGCAGGGCACGGGGGATGCAGATATCGACAGTGCTGCAGATACGGCTTCGTACGGTGCCGGCTTCTTCCCTAGTTGACCAACCGCAAGCCTTCCTTCTTCGTGTCTCTCTGGCCGTTTTTTTTGCTTTTCCGCAAGCACGCAACACGAAAAGTGTCGGCGGGAAAGGGAAGGAGATAAATGTTTTTATTAAAAATAAAAAAAAACCTCCCAGCGCACGTGGACGACAGATAAGGTGGAAAGAAAGAAAGAGGAAGAAAAAAAAAAAAAGGAAGGAACCTGGCCGCACCGGCGCTGTACCTCATGTAAGGCGGGCAGGCACACCACACCCAGAACGCTCTATCTATGGGGAATACGTACTTCCCCTGCCCTGCATCGCGACTCCTACTCGGGGTCCCGGTGTGGACGTCGAGCCTCCCTCCCCCATGCGCCCTGGATGCGATGCGATGGGAATGCCGGCGCACACATGAATTGTAGCATCGCTGAGGAAATCAAAACTCTTCAATCCGCCGACCTGGCCAGCTGCATCGTAAGCTGCTGCTGCTGAAACCAAAGAGGATTGGGACGGGGTCACTGCATGGGGCTAGACAAGTATGTGTGCCTCGCACCCAGCGCATCCTTTAGCAGCGCAACAACGCTCGGAGGGCCGGCCTCGAATGTCGGGTGGGAAGCCCGCAGACAACGTAGTGTACTGAGTACTTGGTGTCCTCGCCGTCTCTTCGCCCCCCCTTCCCCCAGCATGGCATGGAGCGTTGGACAGAGACCTGGCTCGAACAGATCTGTCGGCCCTGATCTACCACGCGAGACCACAGACCAGATGAGGCCATGTGCCCGTCACGCCAGCCCAGAGCAGCCAGCACCAGCGCCAGCGCCAGCACCAGCACCAACATCATCGGCACCACGAACGAGAGGTACGTATCCGGTGACATTGTCGAGGATCCACCGCCTCTACCTGCGCACCTGGGCGGGCGCCTGGACACACTGGGGCAAGGAACACGGCATCCGCATCCGCGAAGCAAGGGACCAGACCCTCGCGCCCGTGCGGAGTATTCGACGGCGTGAACCTGGACATGGGGGAACTTTGTTTCCGTAAGGCAGGCTCTGTCCCAACTATGACTGTGACTGTGAAGTTGGCCGACATTCTGCGCATAGCCGAGGAGCCATGGTGTCGACCAAACGGTAGGCCGATTCACTCACTCACTCACTCACTTTGCCTGGCCCAGCCTGGCCCTATCATATCCGTTGCTCTTGATTGAGGCCCTCGATCCCATTCGACCGCGATGCTATGCTGCATCATGGATCGTCATCGTGCAGTCAGTCGGTGGTGAAGTGCAACGATTTGGTCGCTGATGGTCGGTGACATAGCGCGCATGAAGAGTATAGCCCGCATGTTGCCAATGTCTGCTTCTCGGAGCTTGACTGCCAAGGACCCTGGAGTCGTCGGCGTCGGCGAGGGTTTTCTGCTGCCTGGACGGGCCCCGACTTTTTGACTCTCTTCTATTTGAGTTCGTCGGAGTCGAGTCTGTGCCGCATCTGGACACCTCAGTTCAGGCGTTCCATCCACCAGCTCTCCTGCCGGCAGTCAAAAGCCCTTCACCCGTTCCCGCCTCGCCCGACACATGCCCACGAGGCGGCATATAGGTGAATGAGCCTGCTTGCCCCGAGGAATGCGGGCAATCAAACTCGTGCGGTGAGACGTGGAACTCCCGTTAGCAGGCTGCAATATGCATAGGGTGGCATGCAGGCAAACATGCCGTGCGCGTCTCTGCTAATGATGAGGTTTTACCAGCAAGTGAAGAAGCCAGCAACGCACATCGAACCACTGGGATAGGACGGTACGACAGGGTGGACGGCGAAAGCTGAGCGCGTTCTTAGATTCCATGAACGAGACAACCAGAGCCCACGAGTCCCTGCTCCGAAAGGTGGCATATCACAAGGAGCGAGGTGTTACTTGCCCCTGTGTTCTGCCTGCAGAAACTGTCACTGTGCAGTTGCAGTCATGCTACTCGCCCGACTTTCTTCTTCTTTGAGTCTTCTTAGGTTAGCGGGAGCCTCAACGGCAGCTTCACAGACAGCCTTCAACTGCAAAGTGGTTCGATTTCGCAAACCCAGTCAGTGCTGACGTCCCTCCCCCAAGTGGCCCTCCCCGTTTGCCATTCGCCGCTAAAACAAAAAAACACGACTGTCGAGGCAATGCCGGGCGCACTCCGGTTCCCCCGGCTCCTACCACGACATGGCTGAACTACAGTCTTCACATTCGCCCACCAAGCTTCTCGGAATCTGCCCTCTGAGACCAGGAGGGCGGGCATTTCGCCAGTGCCTTACCCGAACTCATGTCAATGCAGGCTGGTCATTAACAACGCGTTCCTGTCGCAAATCGCCTTGCAAACTCTCGTCCGGTTTGGCCAATCAAGTTGTTCCGCAGTCGTTGTTTCTGCACCATGTACTCCGAGGTACTACCAACACTCCACAAATTGCTCTACGTGTCTCGCAAGCACATGTCGCAACATATCGCCACGGATAGGAGGACGATACGATCAAGACCTGGGCGGGACGTCGGGAAGGCCTAGGGCTGGAGAAGAGGAGGTGTGGTGTGATAGACGCGTACCCTTCGTCGGGTGCCGGATACGCTATGGTCCTGGCGATGATTTTCGATGGCGACTTGTACTGCGAGCCCTCAACCTTTTGTCGACCTCGACCTCGACCTCGATGCTGCCACACCAGACAACACGGCAGAGTTGCACGACGACAGGACCTCCCCTTGCCCAATGCAGCCCTAGCGTCTCGCCGCCCCTCTTCCCCTACCACCCTAAACGTCAAAGCCGCTGTCCGGCTTGCGCCCGTCCGCTTTGGGAAGTCACGATGAGCCTTGCTCCCGGTTCATGGTTGTGGGCTGCTGCAGACAAGACGACCCCTACTGAATTCTACTAGGTACTAGGTAGGCGAAAGGTTTCTCGGTCTTGCTACTTACCCACCATGTCCATCCAATCCTGACAACGGCCGGCCATGATATCAACGGGAGGCTCTTTAGAGTGCTTCTAAAAACACGCATGCACCGCCACAGTCTCACAGCACTTCTCCCGCAACCCAACAACTGGACATCATTGGCCCGCTATTTGTCTGGTGCACGTCGTCTCGCTTCGATCCAGCAATATTTGGTGGCTTCGTTCAGCCCATATTTCCCATCTTCAGCCATCCTTGCTCGCAAAAGAATCCTACTTCTGCCAATATCATACTTTCGGGGCCGGACGAGACTCGCCTAGATACAAGGACGATTGAGTTTAGTCCGTTCCGTTCCATCTGGATAACGCAAATAAAATCCAGAGTTCACAAGTGGACAGCAAAATCCGAACAGCCAGGCCACTGCCGAGAAGACCTACCTACTTGTCAGGTTTTCCCTCGTCTCTCCCGTTACATTCACCTCTTGACTCCTTCTTCGTCGATCCTCTCCAGCTCCTCTGAATGCCAGGGCGATAGAGGCGGATAAGACAATGAGAGGGTCCAGAGAAGCGAAGGACAAGAACTCGTTAATGGCCATTGTTATCGCCCACCTCCTAGTCAATATGCCACCTATAACCTTACATGATACTGACTTCATGCCCATGGGCAGACTTATGTCTAGACTGTGTGTAACTCCTTTGATAATCAGAGTTGAGGTTTTGAAAGTCGATCGCGATTGCGGATATCGGAATGCTTTGCACTCTTCTGGTAGAGATCCCGAGACTTTGACCTCGAATCAACTCACATGCGTCGCTCCCGGGACCGAAGACTGTAACCGAGCGGTGTTCGACACGCTTCGGACTCTCTGGCGCTCACAGAAGGCTATCCATCACCCCAGGGGTGAGTGTTGCGCCAATATCATGCTGGCAAAGGAGTGCTACGCCTTCCTGTTGCGGCCTGGTCGGCAACGCTGCATATTCTTGTCTGTTTTTTGGTGCTTCCGTTCGTTCTGTCATCCTCTCGTCATTGCATACTTGCAGCATCAACTAGGCTGTTCTATTTGCGTGTGTGTACACTTGAGCGAGCCACAACAGCTACGAAGTGGGAAACACCGCCCCAGTCTTGGAGTTTTCGGGGCCAGCCCTCGTCATTACCCTTACTGGTAATCGTCTTATTCCGCATCGTTGTCCTCGCCGTCGTCCTTGCCCTCTTCCTTTGCTCGTCACGAAGAGACTGAGATAGACGGAGAGGACCCAGAGAAGCGGCAGCATCATCAACAAGTGAGGCCACACAGGCACGCAAAGCGGACTTGGTCTCCACACCGCAAGAGAGGATATAATCAGATGGTTATGTTGTAGACGAAGATGTAGTACCGCACCAGCAAGACCGCGGACCTAGCGTTTATCAGTCACCGGTCGGCCATCAAGAGCTGCAAGTTGAATGGCACCACCATTGGAACCATGTTATCGGTACACAAAGACACCCTGTCACTCTTCAGCGGCAACAACAACCCACTGTGTTTCCGACTTACGGAACAATGGTTACTGAAAATCACCCATGTGCATATTGACGGAGCTTTTAACCTGCCGGCCTTAAGATATTCTGCGGTACAGGTACACCCCCTTGAAAGCATATGCAGTGTCTGGACAGGGTTAGAGCAACAGGAGGTATCCATACATTGGGCCCTTTGCCCCTGAAGCACGTCGTCTGGAAAGGACGGGATGATATGAGAGCACAACCCGCTAACCAACACACTTAAGCTGTTCCTGTGTGAAGAGATAAGCAGGGGTGGCAGGACAAGGCGAACAGTATAAGCTGGTTGACCAGACCTTCAATATCTGACCCTCGCGACTAATCGCAGTTTGCAAACCGTGTCACGGCGGAAGAGACCGGATTGATGCCACACAACTCAAACTCGAACAACCGGCTAGATTACGGCTCACAGCTTGCTCAAACACATGAGGCAGAGTTCTCGGTAAGCTACTTGTAACGATCTATGGAGGAACTCTAGCTTTGAATAAGTTCACCTGTGCTGTTTTCTCTTAACATTGAGTTTGAGGGCCGCAAGTTTTGGCCTTAACCTCTCCCAGGATATCCTTCATCGGGTTGATGACGGGTACCCAGTACCAGCGTTTGTGCTGCATCGTTGATGTACTTGGACAGATCAGCTCGAGAAGACATCGAGACATGATGGCTCACGACGGTGCGAAAGCCATGATACATCTTTGTTCCTCAGCCAACCGTTGCGAATGTAAACCCGCCGATCCAGCGACACACCGAACGGCTCCTATGCAGGCAGTGCCCCATTGGCCGGCCATCCGAGCAAGTATTGCTCGTCGTGCATGCTGCTACTGTACGGATGTCTTGACCAATCCCTTTCTGATGCAGAGTCCTGAAACTAGATGCGCACCCTTGGGACGAATTCGAGCGCTCAGCGTTTTGGGAAGACGGGTCACACTTTGTTTCTCCTCAGGCGGAACACCAGCGCTACATTGTCTTGGGCAACCTCGATTACCCCTCAGTTCGAGCGGCATGATTACTGGCCGTTCCAACACAGAGAAGGGAAGGAAGTAGCATTCACTTCGACACGGGCTTTTTCTGCAACCTTCTGACGCACTTCCTCGCCAGCGCAAAAGGCCGAAAAGAGGGTGGGCAGGTCTATCAACAAGACATGCCGATACCACTGGCGATGCCTGTCACCACGCATTGCCGCTCCCCTACTGCATACTCCGGGCATCGACGTTCGATGAAGACTGTTGTCTGGCCTGGGCATTTGAGGCTGATTCTGATATCTGTCAAATGCGCGAGTGATCCGCAATGGCGCATTCCGTCTATCGACGGCATGGCATTTCCCCACTTATTTGATACCGTAGCCTAGTAAGCAATGTCTCGGTAGCCCTCTCCTCCATATCCTAGCTTCTTGACAGGTGCGGATAGAGCAACATCATAAACCTACAGGGCATGGCGATCGATCCCCCGGGCCCTTGGTCCGATTATTAGTGTATGGCATGCATCTCCTCTCTTCACAAAGCTGATGGGGACTCGAACGGCCACACACACGCAAAATCGTGCCAAGTAGGCTACGTGTCGGCTCGGTTTCTAAGACAAATGGTATCATCTACAGCCTGATCCAGAAAAGAATATTGGGACCAGAGCCAGCGCCGGAGACTTCAGCGCACAATGACGAATCATGATCAAATTCGCTGGGAGTCGTACAAGAGGGAGCGCCAGGTCTGAACGGCAATGGAGTCGCCAGGACTGGAGGTGGCCTACACCCTGGCAATGGGGCCAGCCCAACGGGGAGGGTTGCCTGTCAGGAAGACTTCCGATACGACAGGTGACGGCCATCCCACCAGTCACTAAAGTGTCTTGCAGGGATCTCGCAACACGGCTGCGTGGCTCTCGGGAAAGCTTGGCGTCGGAGAGACACAATGGGACCGGCCCACGTTGATGTTGGTGACGAGGGGAGAGTTGCTAGACTGGCGGCAGTTTTGCGACCTCTCGGCTCTTTCAAGAATCAGTCATGATTGTTCTTCTTCATTGTTTCGGCCCGACCATTGTTCAATCAGCGTCCTGTAGCCCGTTTATCAAAGGCTGGAGAAACAAAAGAGGGACGTGCTGCAACGCCCTACCAACCGATGTCTCGTTGATGTCGGTGGACGTTATCAAGTAGGAAGACGCCATTCCCATCTTGGATGGGGTTGGAGCGATGCTCAGTCATGTTTCAATATCGACATGACCAAGGTCCCAAGCGAAAAGTCGATGGAGATATGGCCGACCTGACGTACTGGTTCGGGTCGCCCAAAATGGAGGCTTGCGTCCCACGCACCGGTGGAAAAGAATGCAGCATATCTACGAGCCACACTACTGGGTCCGAAACCCATGGACGGTGGCAGATTGCGCAGAACGAAACCCAGATTGTGACCGATCCAGAATGTTATCATCTGGCCCCCGAGGTTTACAAGTACAGGATTCGGGCGCACCTCCTCCGTGATCATGGATTATCTGGCCTCCAAGCCGCTAGGCCGGTCATTCATGGCCCAGCAACGGGATTCGGCCATGATGCCAATGCAAAAGTGCGACCCTATCCGCCCAGAGCCACGGTCCTTTGGCCTCGTCAACCAACCACTCGGGGCCTTCCGCGGGAATTCCAGCAGGCAAGGTTTCCCCGTCCCGGAAACACTGGCGTCTCATTCGTACCCTCAGCATTCTGAACATAACTGCATAGAAAGCTTCATCCTTCAAAGCAGACCGGACAGTCAAAGCAAGAGCTCTCTCCCACCATTCACTGATGCAGTAAACACGTCCTCAGGCCAGTCTTCTCATTTTGTGTCATCAACAAGCATGCGACCTGCAGCACACAAAACAACACTCGTCCGAAAACCGCCGTAGCCCTCAGAACCTAAATTTGGATTACACCTTGAGCGACTGCGTCTAGCCCCGCGACGCTGACCCAACCGAAACATGAGCGGGGGGCTCGTCCCTCCCTCCCCCCTCGTTCTGGCATCTGAGGGGTGGTGCAACAGGCCTGGCACGGAGCCCCAAAGGCTCAGTGCCATGAGCCTGCGCCTTTCTCCAGGTTTTCAACTCTCCTGCATCGAACAAACACCAACTAACACACGTGTGAGGACCCCTCATGGTCCGGGTGACTGCTGCTGCGGCCAGGAGTTCGAAGCCCGCCGGCAACGGCGGCGGGGTATGCCGTTTGGGGCGAGCGGGTTCCGCGAGGGTACCTCGCTCGCTCCCTGTCGTTTGCCTTGACTCGGTGATCATGAAATTTCTCCTCGGCCTCAAACGTTTCCGGGGTCTCAAGTGAGGGCCCGGTGCTCCGCTCCGCGCCTCCATTCCGAATGGATCTCCCGCCGGGTTCCCGGCGACATGGCCTTATCTGCGTTCTCGTGGACGGCACCCATCGAGATCCGCCACGCCATGTGCTTATGTCTGCGTCTTCATTAACCCGCTCCCTGCCAACGGAGGCGGCGTATGTTGAGTGCGTCAGCCGCAACGCGCTACAGTATACGGTGCTTACTACGTGGCGCCGCTAAAACCATCCCACTGGCGGTGAACACATGGGTCAAGCGCCCTTTCTGCTCGTTTCTCCCTCGCATCGCAACGCTCATTGCGGATGGGATGGAATTTGGACATCCACTCTTGCTATCTTCAGATGCCGTAGCTTAAGAGAACCCGAGCCAGAAGCTCTTTTTTAAGTTCTTACATCCGACTTGCTTCCTTGTCCATCAACATCGATCAAATCGTAACTTTGAACGTTGCGTGCTCCCGTTGCTCAACAGATTCAGCGTCTCACCATCCCGTCATTCTTTTGCTAGTTGCCCATCATGACAGTCGCACAAGGTTATCACAACCTCGTCCCCGTGACGAAACTCTCGCCGCCGGTGGATACCACCCAGCCGTATGACCCCTCTACTTTCTCAGGCAAGACCGTCCTCATCACCGGCGGCGCTCTTGGCCTGGGCGCGGCTTTCGCCCGGGAGTGGGCCTCCCACGGGGCCAACGTGATCGTCGGCGACATCAACAAGTCCCTCGGCGAAGCCCTCGTCGCCACCCTCCGCACCGAGAACCCCAAGGGCTCTCACCACTTCGTGACCTGCGACGTGACCTCCTGGGCCTCGCAGGTCGCCTTCTTCAAAGAGGGCGCCCGGCTCTCGCCCAGCGGCGCCATCGATGTCGTCGTGGCCAATGCGGGCGTCAACAACCCGGGCGCCAATCGCCGGTTCGAGAGCCCGGAGACCTCCAAGACGGACCCGGACGCGCCCAGCGAGCCGTCCAACACCATCATCGACGTCAACGTCACGGGCCTGTCGTACACGACGCACCTCGCCCTCTTCTGGCTGCCGCGCAACGGCGCCTCTCGGGACAGGTGCCTCATCTTTGTCGGCTCCGTCGCGGGCGTGGGCCACTTCCCGGGCCAGGCGCCGTACACCATGTCCAAGCACGCCGTGACGGGCCTGTTCAGGTCGATGCGCGCCACGGCGTACCTGTCCCACCGCATCCGGCTCAACATGATCTGTCCGTACTTCATCAGCGGGAGCAGCATGTTCCCGGCGGCCGCGGAAGCGGCGTTGCTGGGCGGCGGCGCGGGCGGCGCGCAGTTCGGGGACGTTGTTGACGCGACGACGAGGCTGGTGGCGGACGAGAAGATCATCGGGCGGGCCCTGCTTGTGGGACCCCTCTTGCGGATGGCGAGGGCGGGACGGAGGGAACGAAGACGGCGGCATGGGACGTGTATGCGGAGGACTACAAGGACTGCGAGGCGTTCGTGTGGCGGTGGATCCGGATGTTGAATACGGTTGAGTACATCCGGGGCTGGACCGGGTGGGTTGGGGATGCGTTCTCAGTCCTGACGAGGCCCGTCAGGGGGTGGAGGTGATACGTGAGGCGAAGAGGATGCGGTTGCTGAAGGTGTCAAGGCGTCTAGTAATGAGGCGAGATAAAATGGAGACAAAATTGCTGGCAATGGGTTCACATGGGAATAAGCATCTCACGGATGCGAGAGCACGAGATTGCTGACGGGAGTAAGGTCATGCTAGGCCCCCGTTCGCTCACTTTCTAGACGACAAGCTATCCGATATGAGAGGGCCGATAGGCACTCTGGTAGAAGTAAAGTAAAAGACGAAACATCTTATGACTAGTGAGTCTAAACTGACTATCATTCTTGATGCAGCTTGGTTTGCATATGACACCATATGGGCTTGATAACTCGTGATAACAACCACTTAATATTCAAGAATACTAGTTAGGATGTAGGAGATGATGATGCCCAATCCTATGCCATTCCTGGATGGACTGCTGTAATGATGCAAAAGCAACTTGGGGATATGAGGTCCTTTTGGCAGTTACGATACAGTCGACAGCGGTTGCTTTCAAGCAGAGGAGCTCATGCATAGCACCCTTGGACTCTCCTACCGCAATGATCCAACCAACGCAAGTTGCTGCACAAGCTATTGCAGCGGAAGTCATCGGACGATACCACTGCTGAAGAAATATGGATTGCTGTTCTTATGTAGTCTTGACGGATACCTTATGCCACGTCTATACCAATGACTGCATCAATTAACGACACAGGATTATAACAAACGCCCCTTCTTATGCTGGGTCAGCGTCGCGAGTTAGCGCTCCCTAAATCCTGTAGGCTATAATTACGTGTTAGTCGAGCATATTTCATCGCTTTTCACTTCTTCGTAAGAACATGAACTTATATTCGCAAAAGCTCATAGAATGCTTGTCGGGTCATATCCCAGGGAACTCCACGACGAACATCTAGCTCTTGCAACAGCCTGGGGAGTATAGGGCTTTTGTCAGCATGTAGAAGTCTTTTGACATTGCCCGGCCTCGTTGTCGACGTTGTGTTCACTGTGTATACTAAGGAGGAACGTTACGATAGAAGAAATCCAGTCGAAGATGTAATTTTGCTTCCGACGCTCGACTTTGAGGGAGAGGCGTACAGCGCCGAGAGCTATACATATCTCGTGTATATATACATAACCAACTACACTCGCAGTGAATCAAAACCTGTTGATAAGAAATGAGGTAGAGTGGCTCATGTATCTTGTTATTGGCTGTATCCTTAGCACCAGCATAGTCAAGAACGAACTTGGGAGAAACAGAAACCCAACAGACTTTTCAGTACAACTTTCTGCAAGGAGGATTCGTGTGCTGGGTGAATTCAGTTGTATTGAGATTTTAAAGCAACATGGACCAAGATCTCCGAACGGAAGCATAAATACTATAATCAAAGCAAATAGTCCAATGGGGATTCATCTGATATATACTACACAGAATGTGGTTGTTGAGGAGCAAGCGCACAGCCAACTGCTTCTGCTGCAGTCCTCATTGCTGCAGTGTTATCCTGAGCGACGGCACTAGGATTCTAAGAACGCCTGCAATGAAATGTACGTGTCTACACATAACGACGCACGATATAGTACAATGCCACGCTACGGCATCTTCATTCATACAAAGTGTGTCAGACAAAGTATGCTACATGAAGATGAAGGGTGAATATGGGTCATCATCGTTTTTTTGAACTTTTCAGATAAGGGTCGTACAGCACGCATCGTTCATGCGCTCATACTCCCCTTTTAGAGTTAGATTGAACGGTGACGTATTGTGCCTCTTCTTCTGGCGCCGCAATAGTTCTGGAAGTGGTTGCTGACCCCTCTTGGATATTTCTCGGACAGCGAGGTCCTTGGTACCCTCTTGCATCATAGGCCGCGTGAGTTATTCAGATAGCGGTTACCCGCCGCACTTGATCATCTTCGAAGGTGCGTGGTGCCGTCCCAAGCTGCGGGAACCTTGATACCCGAGATGAGCTTGATGAGCTCGGTGAGCGCTCCAACACTCGTAGTAGAGCGAACAGCTTTGGTCTTGCTGCCTTTCCCTAAGACGTGTTCGCAGGATGTCATATGTTGAACTCTATCCGTCAAGAAGCCGTAGCCAGAACAAAGCGCGGAATATCATGAGAGCTAGGAGGCTCATCCACTATCTGGAGGAGACGGGCCCATATTCACGGTCCCTTGAAACGATGGATCCAAGTGCATCGACGGATGTTGCCCCTGGTTCAGATCGAGACTCTGATTTAGGCCTCCATTTGATCCCTCCGGCCAACCCATGGTCATTGTAGCCCACAGGTCAGTGTAGGTAGCCTGGCCGTTCACCACCGCCGCCGGCGTCCCACTCATCATAGGCGAGATCAAGCCGTGCGCACCAGTCCGGTTGATGTCTTGGTCCCATATGGGAAAATAAGAATCTAGGCTCCCATCAAACATCGGGCACCCGCGGATACTCCTTGGCAGCTTGTTCACCGGCGTATTGATGTTCGCCACGCGGCCCTCGTACTTGCGCTTGACGACCGCAAGCACGACCTTGCTCGCAGAGAAGACATCCATGCTCTTTGTAGACGGCGTCAACTCCTCGTGGTTCGCAGACAGTTTGGCGAGGTACGAATCGAACTGCAGCTGTTCGCGGGCCCGCGCATGATCCCATTCAGGGCATAGCGGCAGTGGGAAGGACATGCGGATGGCGACGATGGTGACCTGGATGAAGCGGCCCCAGTCGATGGAGCTCATCTCGACGAAGTTGGTCTTGTCGAGGTTGACGAAGAGATCGAAGAAGCTACGTAGGAGCGATAGGCACCGCTCGAGGCGTGGAATGGGGATGGGCGGGCCCAGTGAGGGATCTCCCATTCTTGATGTGGAGGTGAGCCGGTAGATGGGACCAGCAAGGAGGTAAATTTCGGTAAAAAGGTTCGCAATTTTGATGGAGTCTAGGATAGGTCAAACTAAGACACCTGAATATGAGAGTGTGGGAATAACACGCACTGATGTCACCTAGACTGCTAGGTATTTGGTTCTGCCAGTCCCTCAGCTGGCTATCGAGCCCAAGAAACATAAAATGAGCCTGCTGCTGAGCCTGCTCCGTCGCCGGGACATTCTTCGTCATCTCGGACGCTTCCTCATTGATGTGAAGTAGCCTTGCGAGCCACGCGAGGGTGTGGTCCCCCTTGAGAGCGGAGCTGCGCTCGAGGAGGTCGCAGCAAGTAGCGGTCCACGAGGTGTATGGGAGTGATACCAGCGACATTCTGGCCCATGCCATCGCGAACCTAGAATAGGTCAGAGTCGTTTTGCGGAAGTACTGCAGGGAGGGCAGCACGTGCGCTGTAACTAGATAGTAGCAAGACAGGTAGGCGCGGATGCCTTCCATCTGGTCCGGCGCAAGTGGTGTGGACACACCCGCTGCTTGATAGGGCGGGTGGTTGAGCTCGAGGTCGTGGAGGATCTCAGCTGCCATGCGGACGTAATGAAAGACCTGTTTGCTCTTTGGACGGAGGTGAAAAGGGTACCTGCGGTCGTTAGGCTGTTTGGGGGAGGAGAAGGAAACAAGGGTCTGCGTACCACGCCGTATAGATGAGCAGGCCTTGGAGGAGTTCCAGGGTTCGCTCGCTGCCAGCCACGAATTTGAGGCCGAGTATCTTGCGAAACTCTTCATCGTAGAGTGTGTGTCCCTGTAACGCACTGGAGACGGACGCTGTCGAGAGAATGGCGAGAAGCAAAAACGGCTTTGTCTTGGACAGAGATTCGACAGTGGCGTCCGGGGGAAGCGCCACGCAGGGAAAGTGCTTCAGCATGACACGGAAAGTCTGCAGCAGTTTCTCGGCGGAGTCAAGGTTGAACTGGGGTTTGAGGCCAAGGTTCGATAAAGAGACGGACGGACCTGAGCCTGAGGATGGTGGGGACGATATGGCGGAGTAGGGTCCGCTACCGGGGTCCTCGAGTCCGAGCATTATGTCGATGGACTCCATATCGGACGGAGGTAGAAATTCCTCAAGGTACTTGTCATGTCGTGCGACAAGATTCTCGAGATCGTCCGGCTCTTCCAACTGAGGCATCTCAAAGTCGATGCTGAAGGTCTTGGACGGTCCCGGTGGTGGAGGAGGTCTTGGAGCGTCCTGGTTCCTGTTGCAATGTGAGCGAGACTACGATATGACAAGCGTGTGGCGGAGTTTGTTGTTAAGAATGTCAACGACGAGGAGCTTACACTCTAGATTGTCGCGGACGCCGGGTTCTGGGACCAGTACGGAAGATGCATTCTCTCTTGAACTCAAGACACCTGATTCGCTCGGTAGACTAGTAAGCACACAACTCGACTTATACGCCGAACCAAGTCGGGGATATGTCTTGAACTGAGGGTGGGTACACATCACGCACCTTCGACATATTCCAGGTTGCACGCTGGTCTGGCACTTGACCTTGGCCGCCCTACATGCCTCGCAGGCGTTGGTCACTCTCTGCCGCGGGGTTGCGCAGGCGCTGAGAGTATCGGCATCGATGACAGCCTCCATAATGAGATGATGGGGACCAAATATGAGCCAACAAGGTGCGAGAGGTTAGAGTGAGAACGAGGAGGAGGGGATGATCAGGTATCTGGTCCGAAATTGAGTGGTCTTGGGGACTGCGTCCGTACGGTAAGATAGGCAGGCAGAAAGATGAAGGAAAAGTAACTGAGTCTTCCGCATCCGGATGCGCAGGGAGATAAAGTTTCGTTTCGATGTCCGCAAAAATAGACCAAGCTGGGGGGTTGAAGGCAGTCCAGAGAGCAGTCGTAATCAATTTGCTCAATCCTATCCGATGATGGGCGCTGACGAGGCGACGAGTCGAATAGAGAGAAGGGGAATCGAGAATGGAGTTGAACTCCGCCTTTACCTTCGCGGGGACAATACAAGCACAGATTAGTGGTCAATGAGTTGATGAATCCTCCGAGTACCCTCGGATGTTGGTGATTGGAGGACTTCTGCTCCAGGCTAAAATAGGACTCCGCTCTTAGGGCGGATTTCAATAGGGGTCTCGAACTTTTTAAGCGCTAGAACCCATGTTGTCTTGGCTTGGACCACTGCGGTGTCATAAGTTCCGAACCACATCGGAGTGTTAAAGAGCTGAAGTGGACTCTTCGAACGTTGCGGCCAGACTGATTAGATGGGGGCCCCAGTCAACACGCATCGGAAAAGCTTGTGCCATTCGTGTTCATTGAAGCAGCTATTGGATATAGTACAATCATCGAGCAGTCAGTTAGAAGACGGTTGTCCGCGACCGAAGCCCCATCTTGCACTAATTGAGGCGGCAATCTCAGCTCCATTGCTCTCGTTCTAATTCTACCCTCGGAGCCAAAGACGACGAATTGCTATTGTACGAAACTGATACTCCGTCTTATCATCTCGTTACGAAGGTTGACGCTGAGAACATGAGCAGGCAGTGACGCGGTCGATACTCAAGGTAGCAGCCGTCCCACGCGTTCAGTGCTGGATATCGTTAATGTCAGAGTTGTTGCCCTTGAAGACGCGCTCAAATGCATCGTCGAGCCGCCACACGAACTTTGAGATGTCGTTCACGTGGTACTTGGTCTTCTCGTCGTTGTCGTAGACCAGATGCTCTCCCTGGGTGCCGATGTCGATGCCAAGTCCCTTCCAATTTGGAATGTGGACGCCTTCCCGGTGCTCCTGAAAATCGGAACTTGCGCAACGCGATGAGCAGTAAACTATACTTTGCCCTAGCTGCTCTGCACATTCTTCACAGATAACGGGTCCGTCGCCGCTGCCACCCATTTCCTCATCCTCATCCTTAAGCTGAATGCATCCTTCGCCGGCGGCGCAGCTGTGTGCGGTTTGAACATGTTCATCCTGAGTAGTTGTCAGCATGCGGCTCGCCATGGAGATTATTGTGGAAAGGCTCACATATGCCTCATCGTAGCATTTCTCCGAGTCGAAGACCGTTCTCTTAGTCAGGCTCAGCTCGGCGAAGACCAAGCACAACGGGCACGCGATGACCTCGTCTGGTGACACCTTGCCTGAGCATGCGAGGCACGGCGGGAGATCGTATAGTTCCTTATTGACCTGGGGTCCCTGAGGAGGGGGCTGCTGTCGCTTCTGAGCTTTGAGGAGCTTATCCTGCTCATGTGCTGCTTGCGCCCTCTTAAGCTCGTTAAGTGTCCGTTTGTGCCTGTCCATGTTTCCCGAGGCTTGCGACCTAGCTGGCCTGTCGGCCGCCATGGCGCACACAACATCCTCGATAGAAGCGCCGGAGCGCAGCTTCTCCACGTAGCTTTTACATGATGCTGGGACCTCACCTGTACTGGGGTCTCGAAAGAAGACATCGATGAGAACGTCAGTCTCCTTCTCGAGAACCAGGTCATCGAACATGGGTGCCAGCTCCTCTAGGCTCGGTGCGTCGTCAACACCCTGGCTAACGGCTCTCCTAACATCCTCGATGAGTGAAGATGTGGGTTTCTCTTCGTCCTCCAAAGCGGCCTGGAACGCGTCCCTGCCCATCGAGCCTTCGGCTACGCGTCCCGCTGCTGACTTGGGAAGGGACTCGCGGTAGTGTCTCTGCTTTTCTTTTTCGATCCGGGCCTCAATGGTTTTGAGATCTTCATTGAAGTCCTTTAGCTTCACGAACAAGCTGTCGAGATCGCTCAGAAAGGCCTTATCGTCGGAGAACCACTCGTCCTTAGAGTCGATGTATCTGCTTCTCATCGTCTCCACGACATCCCCGTAGCAGTCCTTGCAATGCGCTACATGAGCCTTGCCATGTTCCTGCGCGCATTTTGCCTTAAGTTTTTGGATGGACTCAGCCTCCTGACGCTGCTTTCTCCGCTTGGCTTGCAATGCCCCTTGCTTGCTTCTGCTCATCCTGATGATGTGGTCGTAGTAAGAGGAGTAGTGTGAGATGTGGATGAGGGTGCTCAGTCGGGTACTCGGAGTTTATAAGCTGGTAATTGTTTCAATACGGATACAGACCCAATCGGGACACAGTGTTGTTTTTCCACGAGGCTTTTGTTGTTGATAATGTTGCTAGAGTGAATCTAAACGGACTGAGAGGCTCGTGGTTGAAGTGAAGAAAAGTGGGCTATGGAGTCGGGTCACCGTGATACTTCAGCCGGCGCACGGTCCTCGCCTGCCGCTTCGGTGAAGGTCTGCCGAACTTCAGCCGGCGCATCTCCCCATGACAGATGCGTTGGTACCGTAAAGCTTCTAATTTCGGCTGTAATCCTTAACGTTCACAACCAGCAATCCAAGACAGAATGGTGAGTTACGCGCGCGCACTTGAAGAGGTATAGTTACTGATTAGTATCACCACAGGCCGACAAACTCCGTAACCAACAAGAACTTGAGCGCCTTCAGGCCAAGTACGTTGGCACGGGACACCCCGACACCACCAGCTGGGAGTGGAAAACAAACATCTACCGCGACACGTACTCTTCCATCGCCGGCCACCCCCCGATGCTCTCATACATGGCCCTGGCTGAAAACGAGCCTACACAGCTACTCCGTGCGAGACTTATCCGGGTATAACTCGACTGCCTTCGTCCACCAGATCGCTTCTTGAACATAGTGGCTGACTGCCGATAGAAAATGATGCAGCCTGCCGGCCCACCTCCAGCACGGGAAGATTAACGACCGAACCTACACTCAGTGAGGAGAGAATCTAAAGTATTGTCAACAAAAATGGGCGGACACACTGGCGTTGGGCGACATGTTTGGGTTGGAATGATAAAGGAGGGCATAGATACCCCTGAAAATCCACTGCCAGTATCTGCTGGCTGTTCATGCACTCATGCGCTAAAATGCTTGCTACTTGTCGGGTATCCCATTCCGCCAAAACCTAGACCGCCTCCCCTCGCCTTGCGTAACCTTTCCGCGCCTCTATATGTCCTTCAGTGCGACGGACCCGCCTCCGGAGCCTGCGACATATCCACGTCGCCATCGGCATCTTCGACTGGTTGAATCCCGAAAGTCGCCCCGATCTTCTTCTCCAGATCTGCATCGGCCTGGTCACCATATACAGCACGTACCAGGCCTGCTGCCCCATCGATGCCAACCTCCTCGAGCCCGCGCGGGCCGACGAGCCACGTGATGTCCTCGCTGCCATCCTGGGCCTGCGTTGCCGCGTTCTTCTGCACCTTTCGCACAACATAGCCCTGTGCCTGCATGCGCTTCAACACGTCTTCTGTCCTCTCTAATGCGACGTTGGCCTCGGCGTTGAGGCGATTGAGGTACCGCCGTAGCTTCTGTTCGGACAGCTCGCCACCACTAGCGAGGATGATGGTTATAATCATAGTGTAGAAACCCATGTACGATGCTTCAGCTTCAATGCTCGGTGCTTTCGAGGGGGCAATTATAGTCGGGGCGCGGTAGCGGGTAGGGAGTGTCGTGGAAAGGACGAAGACGCCGGAGCTTGTTTTTGCTTGGGAGCCTGACTTTAATGCTGTGTAGCGTTAGCTACTATTGTCACGTACTTCCAGCTCTGCTCTGGACTTACCTTGGCGCTTCTCTGCCATTGTAAACTTTTCCCTGACTGCGAGTTCCTGCAGCTCCATGCCCCAGACGGTACGGAGCTGCTGCTGTGCCAGATCGAAAACTTTCCTGAAGGCTCTACCCTGATCCCCAAGAACTGGCAACACGTCAGCTGCGGCTAGACTTTGTGGACTGCAACTTATAGCCTCTTACCTCGCTCTTTGATTCCGTCTCGACGAATTGGCGTCCGAGAAAACTCGCAAGCCAGAGCGTAGCGTACAAGTTTCTTCGCAAGCTGATCCTCTGCGCTGGCTGCCGCATCTACAGCACCGTTTTCGGATTCGTCATCTTCGTTGGATACGTCGTGACTTCGGCGTGGCCTAGAGTGTCTTACTTCCTCTTCTGAGTCTTCGTCCTCCACCTAATCTCAGTCAGCTATCACAAGCTGATAAGTATTCGACGGAAGTGGGTTGTACCTGTCTTCGTCTTCTTTGTGAGGGAGGCATCTGAGATTTCTTTGACAAGTAGGACGGCAGAGCAACGTTAATTCCTTGATGCTGAAAGCACGGAATCAGGCAATGAAGAGGCTAAAGCTGTGCTGGCGTCTTCATTCCCACGGCTCAAGTGACGTACGATTCGAATTGACGCGACGCGATTCTGGGCGGGGCACTTTACTTCGCGCCAGCACTCTTTCAAATTCTTTATCTTATCTCTTATCTAATCAGTACCTACCTGTCGCAAAATTTAGGGAGCTTTAGAGTAACAAGCTTGTTCGTCGCAGTCGCCTTTGATTGAGAACTTCAGCATTGTTCAGCGTTTTCTTTCCTCCCAAATGATTTCTCGGGCAGTGTATGCTCGAAGCGTGTGTCTGCGATGTCAATTGCGACTCCTCGACCGACCGAGAGCTCATAGCTCACTTCGAACCCCCCCTTTCCGAACCGCCTTCCTTCAACGACGGTTATACAGCGCCGACTCTCCTTGGGATCGACTTGAGGCAGAATCAAAGGACAAGATAGATGCCTTGAGTAGCAGAGATAGCCCTCAAAGCGATGCTTCGGTCGGGAGAGATGAGCTGTCCCAGGCGCAACCTACCACTCCCCCACAGCCTGCAGCCCTAGAGCAGGATGGTCCTTCGAGTGGAACGGAGCCCGCGGCGGCTTCCGCAGCTGGCAAACCCACGAAGCGAGACGGCCCCCTCGTTACCCGATACTATACCGGCGTGGATCCCAAGGATCGTCGTGAGCGCCGGCGCGTAGGAAACCGCAGCGTATACTTGCAGTCCGAGCAGCTAGATGTCAACATGCTGGGAGAGAAGGCCCGGACGATCGTTATGCGCGAGATGGGCGGAAACTACAAGAATATCAGGAAACTGCCTGTTGAAGAGCTTCTGCCTCAGGAGTTTGACATCAAAGCATCACTTGATGCAGAAGAAAAGGACTTGACGATGGAGGAGGCCCTGGCCAACGTTGATGATATCCGTCCCACTGACCCCATCGTTTCGCAAAGTGAATTCGACGGGTTGCTGGAGGTGCTCCTTAATGGATTCACGGTTGCTCAGCTCAGAGCATATCTCGCGCGCGAAAATGCAAAGACTCGGACAACGCCTGTGGAGGAAAAGGTTTCGCAGTACGGTTGGGTTCAAGACGAGATCCCCTGGACCCCCTTCCTAAAGCCGGAGATCGCCGGCTCTCCCAAGGAGAGACTTGCCTTAACCCTCATGATTGAAGCTTGGCGTTTAAGCATCAGGGAAATGGTTGATGGCACCGGCTTCTATAGCGCCAAGATCAGGGAAAGGATTCTTGCACTCTTAGCGAGTAAGTAAATCAGTCAACTATCTCGATGTTGTCTAACATGTGACAGGGGACCACAAGAGACTCGATACTATCAGAGAGGCTTATCTCGATGAGGGCGAGAGCATTGAGCTCACCAATACACGAGTGATGATCACAGCCACCAAGGCCAAGACAGAGACCATTCTGAAGAAGCTGGACGAAGCTGCTCAGCTTGTCACTACCAAGCAAGTCAGGGCCACTTGGCTTTCCAACTGCGACGCTCGCTCTAATTTATTGCATCATCTTGGTCATCTTACCAACACAGTTATCACATATAGCACTAAGACACAAACCGTAAGGAGAGCCTTTTCCCGTAGCAGTAACGGCAATATCTAACGGCAAAATAGCTTCGCATTTCATGGTTCAGAGACGAAACAGCGGAGGAAAACGACGTCGGCGAACAGTTAGAAAACGTTGTTCAACGTCTTTTATATACCGCATTTCATCCCAGAGACACTTCTGTCTCTCTCAAGTACGATCCGAAGGACAACACCGGCACACTTGTCTCCGAGATCCGCGGACAGGAAAAGCTATCATGGAAGAACCGACTCACACAATGGTCTCGCTATGTGATACCAGTCGGTCGCATTTCTCCAGAAGAATCAGCATTCCCTCTCCAGGCTAGCGATGCTCTGTCTCGTCCTCTTCAACGTCCCGTCCAGGATTTCGACACGCGTTGGAGCAAGAAATACACCACCACCGTCGCCTCCTTTGGCCATATCCTTCACAAGAATCAAGACTCTTTCAGCCTGGCTGCGGCGGCCAAGGCCAACAATCACATCTTCTCACCGACTTCTCCTCATCCCGCAGGTCTTACTGCCTTGTCTGAGGCGCTTGCTACAATCCCAACGCAACCCATCCAGACGACTCTCGTCCTCGGCTTCCATCCGCATCCTTCTTTGCAAGAGATAGAAGACCTGCCGCGTCATCTCGAACTTCGCCTTGTCGTTCCGGAGGAGCTTCCCGAGGGTCCTCTGACGTGGGACGATTGTAAAAAAGACCTGTTCGCGGTCCTCGACCAGAGCTTCACCGACGTCGCATACCCCTCCGAGCCCGTTGACCTGCGGCTGTCTCAGTCGTTACTCTCGGTCATGTCACCTGCTGCGCTCGACGCCTCTCCTTTCCGTGAGTATACCGAAAATGCCAAGTTGGACCTTGTAGCGGGCCGTCTCCGCCCGCCGTCTGAGATTGAGCTCTCCGAACTTCCCTCTGCGATGGGTGATGGCATCGTTGGCGGGACGGCCACGTACGTCTTCTCTGGCCTCGAGATGCGTCGGACTCTGGATGCCAAGTACAAGGGCCACAAGCTTCACTACACGAGTGTCGAGGCGGGTCTGCACGGCGGTCGGCGGTCGGAGCTGGTTCTTGAAGCACGGACAAAGGAGACTGATCTGTCGGACAAGTCAAAGAATGCAGTCGCTGACCATTACCTTTCTGTGGTACACGACCTCGTGACGGGAAGGGTCATGAAATGGGTTGGAGAGAGAGATATCGCGCGAGAGTTCGAAGATGTCAATGTTGGAGACGTTGAGGCAGAGCAAGCTCAGAAGGAGACGGAGTATGGTATCGCCGAGGAGCAGTCGAGCACGGTAAAAGCGTCTGTCGATTCCGGCGCCATCGAAAAGGGTGAGAGTGAAGCAACCGAACCCAAGGAGCAGGAAGCAGGCACTGTCTTTACGGAGGAAGGGGAGGTTCAGACCCAACAAAAGGATGGCATGTAAGACTACGTAGCAAAATTCTGTACACTAAGTGTAAATGTATAGCAATTGTAATATATCTCCTTAGAAGAGACGATTGAGCTTTTTCATGTTGACGTGAATGATCAAATGAGACTTGAAGTGGGACAGAAGTGACATGATCGCGAAGCAGCCCCAGATACCTTTAACGATGAAGAGCGGTGTCAGTTTAGTGAAAGGCATTCTCCCGAGGAATGGGACCATGAAGAGCCCCCACTCCAGTATGAGGTACCTTGTCAAACATCAAAACAGGCTACCCGCAAAGCACACGGAGACCACAACCTCAACTCCAAAACTGAGTCTGCTGTCAACAGCAGTAACAGTGACACCAAAACGTACTTAGAACAGATAATCTAGTTAGCTGTCGAATGGACGATCCTCATAGCAAGTCACTATCACATCGGAGAGCAAGAGGCACAAATCATGTAACTTGGGAATCACTTCTAGGACTCTATTTTTGTGCTACTGAGCACGTATCATGAGAAGTTTTTTTGACGTAGAATCATCCGGTCCATCCTTCCTCTCGATATTCGTGCTACCCAGCCATATTCATATGTCCTCATGCCACGCAAAGGGAATTCGTAAAGCCGTAGAAGTGAGTGCCCATAGCCGTGAAGCCATGGGCGTACTCAGAACCCAACCCTGGTGAGTTAAGTCGCTTATTTCTTGGCGGCCTTGGCAGCGGACTTGGTGACCTATTGATGAACATGTTAGATGATGTCTCAAAGAGAGGGGCAAGTGAGGAATGGGACATACCTTGCCGGAGGTGGCAGCGGACTTGTCAACGGACTTGATGACACCGACAGCGACGGTCTGACGCATGTCACGGACGGCGAAACGTCCCAGAGGGGGGTAGTCGGTGAAAGCCTCAACACACATGGGCTTGGAGGGAACCATCTTGACGATGGCAGCGTCACCAGACTTGATGAACTTGGGGTTGTTCTCAACAGACTTTCCGGTACGGCGGTCAATCTTCTCGAGGATCTCGGAGAACTTGCAGGCGATGTGGGCAGTGTGGCAGTCGAGGACGGGGGCGTAGCCAGCACCGACCTGACCGGGGTGGTTAAGGACGATGACCTGGGCGTTGAAGGAAGCAGCGCCGGCAGGGGGGTCGTTCTTGGAGTCACCGGCGACGTTGCCACGGCGAATGTCCTTGACGGAAACGTTCTTCACGTTGAAACCAACGTTGTCACCGGGAAGACCCTCAGTGAGCTGCTCGTGGTGCATCTCGACGGACTTGACTTCAGTGGTGACGTTGGAGGGAGCGAAGGTAACGACCATACCGGGCTTGAGGACACCAGTCTCGATACGGCCGACGGGCACAGTGCCGATACCACCGATCTTGTAGACATCCTGGAGGGGAAGACGGAGGGGCTTGTCTGTCGGGCGCTTGGGCTGGTCGATGGAGTCGATGGCCTCAAGGAGGGTCTTGCCGGTGGACTTGCCGGCCTTGGTCTCCTTCTCCCAACCCTTGTACCAAGGAGCGTTGGTGGTGGGGGCAAGCATGTTGTCGCCGTGGAAACCGGAGATGGGGACGAAGGCAACAGTCTTGGGGTTGTAGCCGACCTTCTTGATGAAGTTGGAGGTCTCCTTGATGATCTCCTCGTAACGGGCCTCAGACCACTTGGTGGTGTCCATCTTGTTGATGGCAACAATGAGTTGCTTGACACCGAGGGTGTAGGCGAGCAGGGCGTGCTCACGAGTCTGGCCATCCTTGGAGATACCAGCCTCGAACTCACCAGTGCCGGCAGCAATGATGAGAATGGCGCAGTCGGCCTGGGAAGTACCAGTGATCATGTTCTTGATGAAGTCACGGTGACCGGGGGCGTCTGAGATGAGTTAGTATATGAAGGACATGGAACCCCGCTTAATGAAAATTCGGCAAGTGCCAAATCTCCGATGAGCGAAAATGGGTGAGATGAGCTTACCAATGACGGTGACATAGTACTTGGGAGTCTCGAACTTCCAGAGGGCAATGTCGATGGTGATACCACGCTCACGCTCGGCCTTGAGCTTGTCAAGAACCCACGCGTACTTGAAGGAACCCTTGCCTGTGTGTATTGTTAGTCGAGTTCTTCGATGGCAATGATGATGGGTATTTCTAACCGAGCTCGGCAGCCTCCTTCTCGAACTTCTCGATGGTACGCTTGTCGATACCACCGCACTGGTAGATCAAGTGACCCTATTGAAAGTCTGTCAGTCAAGGATCTCAATGCCTTCATACGAGTAAGGATACTTACAGTGGTGGTCGACTTGCCGGAATCGACGTGGCCGATAACGACGACGTTGATGTGAGCCTTCTCTTCCTTACCCATTTTGGCGGTTCTGGATCGAGTTGTGTGGTTTGAGAGGTAAAAGCTGATAAGACTTGTTAGATACTGTCATCGCCGTGATGAAGCTGATGGGGGAATTATCAAGACTTACTGCACAGATGATTCGCAGAAAGAATCGGTATGTAGCAGACAAAGATCGAAAGAGGAGAGCGAGCAGACGGATGGGCGATGGAGAGGGTTTTATTTGCGTGGGCTGTTGTGTGGAAGAGTGAGATGGTGGGATGGGTGGGTGGATGGAGGGGTCGAGGTAAGAAGAGGGGCTTGAAAAGTTTTTGGCAGGGGCTAGCGTGGGGCCGGCCGCTCTTTCCAGGTGAATGTCCACCATGCCCTAGGTTTTGTGCGCCAGATTTTTTATTATTGCCTTGTTCGATCATGATTGGTTGACTCGCTAGCAGATGCGTGGTCTCATGAAGTATCTCGTGGGTTGCGTTCAGTCTCCGCTTGGGTGTGGCAACCACCATGCACCCGCCCTCCACAGACAGCCCCTCATCGCACCGAATTGCACAGAAAGAGCGGTATGGCCTTTGCAGAGATGCTTTGGAGGTTCTTGGGCTCTTCCTGGGTTCAGTTTTTTGTTGCCGCCTCTCTATTTTGAAATCAAAATCAACCGAAGCTGGCTATCAACTGCACCGGTGCGATGACAAGGCGGGTGTCACACCTGATGTCGCAGAACGATGCCTTTGGAGGGGCAGGAATGGAGGGGTACTCATCGGCTTGTGTTCGCGGGGCAACACCATGCATGGTCGCAAACGGGCAGACATCCCGCCTCCGTGGCCTCACCTCCCCACCAGACGAGCTCTGGGCCTTCTACTGCAGATCCGTGATGTCAACTCTCGACTCGAGGGAAATGGACAGCACGCTCATCGCGATCAATTTTCCATGGACCCTAGCTAGCCGCCTTCTGCTTGTGGGAAGGGACAGGCTCCTGCTTTGTTGGCCACCTCAGATGCGTCTCATCCTAATGCCGCCCATTCACCCTGTCTAGCCGTTTGGTCCCTCCCACAGCTTCGCAAATTCTTTTTCTCTTCTCCTACCCCCCTGAAAAATAGGTACTTCGGGACTACTTGTAAGGCGATAAGGCTCCCACAGCTCTCACTTTGCCCCTCCACCCCTCCTTCAGACACATCCCTGTCAGTCACCAAGGTCGCCGCACAGCCCAACCTGGAACCCATTGCTTTGTGGTTTGAGCCCAACCCTCGTTCGGCATGAGTCACGTAGGAATCTGGCTCTCTGGCATGGCTACAGCCAGAGATACTGCATAGTAGTATGCGATGATGCCGTGGTTCAGCCCACATTGGCCCAAGGTTACCCCGTTGAGCCTGTCCTTGTTTCTCTCCGAGTCTCTGGCGTATCCCAGGAGCCACCCTTCTGTTGGATGAAGACCGCCTGAGGAGGAGAAAAATTGAACCTAGGCGCCTGTGGCAGGCCGGCGAAAGAGTCAAAAATCCAATACGCTCAGCAGCACATTTGTGCACGCATTAAGTCCGATAAGTGTGGCTGAAGGGGAATCTAGGCGGTGCGGGGTCGGAAGAGAAAAAAAATCTGATCTCGCGACGACCAGGGTGGCAAACATAGATCCATGGTGACGTGCAGTCTAAGCGCCAGCGCCGCCAACAAGGGCAATTGTCTTCTTGGAGAGGTAGCATCGCGGCAACGTGCAGATTCGCCATGGCATCTTGCGTCTCAAAAAGACATCCTCAATCTGAGCGACGGCAGACGCGACACTAGTCGATAGGATGAGGGTCATGCCTGTTTACATGCGCCGAGCTTATGGCTGAGCACAAAGGCAAAACGAGGGGTGGTTTGCCCCTCCAATCCGAAGAGATGCGATAAGGCTGCGTGCGACAGCCTGAGACACGAGCTTGTATCACGTGATGTATCTCGCTCAGCCTTCTTATTGTTGACCCTTCAGCCATCCAAGCTCACGTGTATTCCGCTTTGTCGTCGTTGTTCGTCGTCGTTGTTTGACAGAGTACTCAATTTTCGGTCTCTCAAAGGTCTTGCGATGACGTCGGACGACTACGAATACAGAACCCCACCAAATTCGCTAAGGGGCATTCACGTGATAAATATTTATTTTTGCTGGTCAGTATCCACTCTTGTGTTGGCGGGCCACCGCCTCCGTCGTCAACCTTAAATTAGGTACGTACTGTTTCCGGTACAGAGAATGAGCCGGCGGGCCACCACAATGTTCGTGAGCGGCTTCTGCAAATCAACTAGAGCGCCACATGCTACGGAGTGACCCCTCTGTTACTCCTCTATTGAATGTCTACGTCTAAATCTTTCAACCCATAAGGCCATAGGACAGTCGACCGTATATATCAATACAAGATTCTTAGGATGCGGTGCCCGGTCGTAACAGCACGGCACGCAATTGCCCTCCAGGGTCAGGACGGCTTCGACAAGTGTGCTCAAAAACAAACAGCGACGACTGTCCTGGGTGACATTCATCTTCCAGACTCGTCCCGCCCCACCGTCTGTGCTTTGCAATCTGAGAACCAGTTAGAGTTGCGGAAACTGTCAACTTACCAAGAGCATCGTTGAGGACGGACTTGGAAGAAGTGAAGAGTTAACGTCTTTTCTGGGTCCACTTTCTGCAAGGAGGGTCCGCGTATGGAGAGAAGTCAATTGCCTCAATTGGCATAGGACGGGGCGAATCTTGGCGCTTCGAGGAACATTTTTGAGCTAGGAACAATAGTATTTCCAATTATAGCTTCGTCATGTTAGATCGTCCCCGTGAAGATACGTGAAGCAGACAGTCTTCGGTTTTTGTTGTTTCTTGGTACAATGATAGAGCCGACTACTGCTTAGGGCGCAGATGGACAAGAGGAAACAAATGCAGGGCAGGCTTCGAGGAAAGAAGAGACCGTAAGGGAGCATGTGCTGGGAGACAGACGTAGACAAGATATGAAGAATGAGGAAAGGGAAAATAGGTAAAGTTGACGAGTGATACGTGTAGGTAGGAAATGTCGACCCTCCCTCTTATATGACATCGGCTCTTGAAATTCCATCGTCAGTTGATGGTATGCTTCCAAATGCCTACTCCAACCCTCTGTACCCCTTCCTCTTTCTCACACCTACGGTCACACAGCGACAGCCTACCTTTTCTCTCGGTCTCTGCTCGTAATAGTTCCCAACTCGCAATGTTATTTACTCTGATTGCCAAGAGCTCCCAATTTGCCGTCCAGATTACCAAGCAGGTGACACAGCGACACTCCTGCTCAGTTAACCCTAAGTATCACTTGTCGATTTAAACTACCTCTGCAACTTTGAAATATCACCCAAGTAGTGTGGGAAATGCAGATCCAGGCCGCCATCTATGGTACTTGAGCACAACAAACCATCCATACAGAGACAGAGATGATCCTGAAGTGCAGTTTGCTAAGAATAACTCGAGGAGATTTAAACCTGGTGGTTTTCAGACTGGACTTCTTCGGACTGACGTCAAAGGTGGTCCTGTTCACGGTTCCCATGCCACAGGCAACCTCGAAACTAGATCGAGAGAAGCATTATGGTCAATTCAAGAAGGAAATCACTGTCTCGTATCAACGTCAAGAATATCCCAAGTCGATGATAGTTCTTCAGACACAGTAGTGGCCGTGCGTGACAAAATCACGATGGGCCTGGTAGTGGACACGGATGTGTTTTCGGCGAGCTGTTGAGCGAGATGATAGACTGTTATTGTCCGCAAAGTCATCCTCTTGATAAATTTGTATGTGGATTGAACGAAAAAATGGCCCCCGTTTGTCAAGATACTGTGCATCAGGCTGCTGGTCGGCGTTTTGGGTCTGCAGTTTGGAAATAAAAATGGCATAAGTGAATAGGTCTGACTAGCTTGAGGATGATATAGAGCTCGTCTGACACAGTCAAGTTCGATAATTGCAATGTAGCAAACTAGGTGACGTGGAAGGAGTCTTCAATCGGCGCCTGCTTCATCTTTTCTTGAGGGCAAGACCAAAATGCAGCTTCCTACTCAACATCACCTTCCATACCAGCCATTGTTCTTCTATCAATCTTGCAGCATATCCTAAGTTGTTTCCAAATCGGAGTGAGGAACTCTCCTTTTTCAATCGACCGAAGAGCCAGGATGTCTTTTTCAAAACACATCAACGTTAAGGTGATAACGTTCAACGATTCCAACCACAGCTTCTCTTTCGACTTTCCATATTCGGCGTATTCACAGGCTCACTAGACCAGTTCTCAGGAGAACTCCATTGGTAGCGACCTTTCGCATGTTGATTCCAGCAGACATTCACAAAATCATCACGCCGGCAGTAAAATGGGATACTGGAATACTGCCAAAGCAGAAATAAAAAGGCCCTACCTACACAGGCGTCCGGAAGGCGACGGCTGTATTATTCCTATAGGCACCCATGTATTGCTCCATCTGAGTCAAGCACCCTTTCGGAAGCGTGGTGACGACAGGGAATGGGCGACCATTACTCCCCTCGTCGTCGAATCGTACTATACGAGGGGCGGCTGGCGCGTGCTACGTGTTCCCATGTTCAAGGGCGATGGTTCCACTATCATAATTCCTGCTTCCTACCTTCGTATCGAGGTCCGCGTCATCAGAGACTTCGTGCCCGGTGTCCCTGAGTACGATGAAGTTGCCGTCAGTGGCGCCTCTGCGAACCGCGGCGTGAGCATCTTCAAAAAAGGGGATATCGCCATATTGGATGAGTTCACGATGTATCCACCTCCCGTTATCCAGGTCCGCTGCCGAAGACGTACGCTTGAAGGGTTCGAGATATTCCAGGGAATTTACCCCATTCATCGCTCCTTCGTTCAATTTGGTACTCCACCAGATCCACAACCAAAGTTCAACTCGAAGCTATAAATGCGTTCTAGTTGAAGTGCGTTCTTCATGCCGGCAATAGTCCACTCAATGCACAAAGGTCATTGTGACTTCGACTTCTAGTAAGACGTGCTTCCAATCCAACAAATTTCAAAGGCTGACAAAGGCGCCGCTACCAAGCCGTGGAAAGGAAACCCATGAACTGGACGGGGCATTGTCGACGACATGGGGTTTGTTCAATTTTTGAACCGACTACCCCCCGGTCGTTGTTTTCTATGACACAACTCGCGCGTTGGCAGATGAACACCTTTCCTGTAGGGGACTATAATATTCTCCTCTAGATATAACGAGGCACCGGGAAACGTAGTGCTTCCATGACGCCCCTGAAAAAATGGCCAAAGATGCAATCGTCTGCATGTTCGGAGAATCCAAACCATTCCAAGTTGACAGTCCATCTGGGTTCCTTCGAAGTGGGATTATAGTTATCAGACTTTGTTTCGGGGTTTGCTGGGTATGAAAAGCTTTCCAAATACCCCAGACACGTCAAGAAGGGGACTCTGAAGATGGGCTTGACCTAAGGCATTCCCAAGGTTGTCGTCACCAGACACGGTAAATCAAATATGCACTTGAGTTTTGTTACCGTTTCATATGAACATTCAATACACCGAGACTTCGTTCAGTACAGTGGTGACATGAAGGATTCCGTCTATTTCAAGCATCAATATGGCGGCTGTTCGGGAAACAGGAATCTTGGTCTCAATGATCGACTACCGAATCACTTCGGCGTTAGGAAGCCTTTCCATACTGTCGACCATGAAATAACTTGAAATTTGATACCAGGACGTGAGGCTTGGGCAAAACCTTGTTGTGGTGCTCGAGAGGCAACATTCGGCGGCTCAACGCTACAATGGATAATCGTGGTTCTGCAGAAGCATCAGGCAATAATGAACTCAGATATTGATGGATTCAGATAAATCTGCTTCCTAAATTGGCACAAGTAGTGTTAGGATGGCTTGTTGTCTTTGTTCTGCCGCTTCCGTCATTGCGCCGCCCCTCACACCCATCAACTTTGCGTCCACATCGTGTGGCCTCATTTCCCATACATAAGTAGCTGTGCTGCCTTGAAGATGTCTTGGTAGTCCCACTCAAATCGCACTTGCTTATAAATCCGATGGTCGAATCGATTCCGTAACATCACTAAGCATTTCATTGAAGTCTGAGTCTACGGTTACTATTAGCAGTTAAGGCCAGCTCACCTATGCAAGCAAAGCACTGTCAACTGAACACGCCTAGGTCAACGGAGGGAAGCGAAACTTGACGAGGAAAGCCAAAAAGGAAACCATGGTGGTCCGTCTATAACGCGTACAGAGATTGTAGGGAGTATCAACGCGGAGAATACAACATGCCGCCCAAGCCTGAACGCCAAATCATCAAATCCAATCCTCAACTGGGAGTTATTCCGAACCCTCCTTCTCCTCTGATTCATCATCCCCTTTGGATCCGCTAATCTTATCCCAGACCTTGCCAAACTTATCCGTAAGCCAGTCCCAGAACCCCTTCATGGCTTCTTTGCCCTTCTGTATCGCGTCCTCATCGGCGCCTTGGCTCACTTCATCATCATCGGTCTGGTTGCCATCTGTTGCTGCCTTTGTTGACGAGGGCTGAGGAACGGGGTCCACTTGGATGGACTTATCCGTAGTTGTTGACTGAGCTACCGGTGATGTTGTCGAAGCGGCCATCTCAGAAGTGGTAGTCGTGTACGGAGGAACCGGGTCCTCGGGCTCCGCTGGTGTGTCCTCGAGCTTGTGAGTGCCGATAGGCGAAAGAGGCAGACGCAGAGTTCCGTTGTTTGGCTCAGGAATAAGACCGACAGAATCGCAGAGAATATTGTACACGTTGATGTTTTCTACTCATGTTAGTCTGACTTCACTGGGTGAGGAAGTGGGGTCTACTCACGGAAGACATCGATTTGGCTGTTTGGGGGATGAGGGAAAGCTGGTCCGCGTGCAATAAAGATGGCTCGCATGAGAGGGTGCTCATGATCATATCCGTGTAAGCCGCGAGGGTGGTAAACCGAGCCGTCCTTCAACGCCTTCGCCACGTCCATTTCATCCTTCGTGACAATGGCCCAGCCAGCCTTGGGGACGATCCAAAGCGGCGCGATGCGCTTATTGTTGGAAAAGTGGTACCGCTCGGGCATGTTCACATCTCGGAGGTAGACGTCGAAGTTGGGGTTCGTCTTGGCCTTCTCAACCAGACCATCATAGAGCCCCTGGAGGTCATCAGGATTCTTCGGGCGGAGTCCGTACAGAGGCCAGCCGTCAGTGTGCGCGATCTTGGAGGTATCGACGAGATCTTCGAGCTGCATCAGCCGTGTCGTATCCGTCGTGGCCATGCCGTGGTCAGACACAACGATGACGTTGACAATGCCAGTAAGGTTGCGCTGCTCGAGTCCAAGGAAGAGCTTGTCCATCATGGTATCGGTGGTCTCGATGGTGACGCGAATCTCCGTGCTGTTGGGGCCGTATCTGTGGCCATCTGCGTCGACGTTGGGCACGTACGCCGCAATGAGCTGAGGCCGCATGTCCTCGACCTTGGCAGTCTTGTCTTCCATGCCAGGCTTGTCGAGGAACTCCAAAATCCTGCTAACCTTGTTGTCAAGCGGCTCCTTACCGTTGAACTTGTCCATGAAGGTTGGCTCAACACCAAGGATGTGCGCCTCACTACCAGGCCACATGTGAATTGCGGACCGGATGCCCTGCCTCTCCGCCGTCACCCAAAAGGGCTCGCCCTTCCACCACTTCGGATCCAGACTACGGCTCGGGTCGGTATAATAGAACTCAGCCTGCATATCGGGGTCCCAGAACGTATTTCCCACGACTCCGTGGCTCTCAGGGTGTAGCCCCGTCGCTAGAGTGTAGTGGTTCGGAAACGTGACGGACGGGAAGGCAGGGAGCATGTACTTTGGTGACACACCCTCATTAACAAATGCGCTTAATCTCGGCGTGATACCCCGCTGCAAGAAGTCGGCACGGAAACCATCGAGACTGATGATAATGGTCGTCGGCGCAAAAAGCGCCGTGCCATTACTGACGAGCTCCACCTTGTGCGCCGGCTTTCTCCCCAGAGACAGCTTCCACGCCACCAAGACAAGTATCGCGAAGCCGGTGGCAATCAAGCTGTGAACTAGCAACCACCGTCGCCAAGAACGTCGCTTATCCGTCTTCGCGTTGGCCACCATTTTCAGCCGCTGCCGGTCGATCTCGTCGCTGTCGTCCCGTTCGCTGCTCTCGCCGGTCGAGCTGCCCTCCTTCATGCCTCCTTCTTCCATCTCATACATTAGTTCACCGTCCTCGCCGTGGGTAGCCTTCTCCAGTAGGCGCTCTTTCTTTTGTTTCCTCCTAGTGCGGCGCTGTTGGCGCTTTTCTTTCTCGTTGAGAAGATCTTCGGACGAGCCGTTGCTGGAACCGGGACGTTGGCCATCTGCCCCGCGGCCGAACAGCTTCAGGGGATTCGGCACAGCGAGGCCAGACCCTCGGCGCTGTAATTCCTGCCTCTTGCGCGTCTCCGCGACAAGCGTCTCGACCTCCTCCTCCTCCATGAACACCAGACTATCGGCAGCGCGCAGCTCGCGGCTGTTACGCGCGCGCAATTGCAGCTGGTCATCGTCGCTGTCGCTGTCCTGGTCGCTCCGGCTGTGTAGGGATGAGGCGTCGTCATCGTAGGTGTCGGGGGCGAGGAGGCTTCCATTGTCGCGGTCCGTTCGGGACCTCGTGCTGAGGCGACGCATCGGCATGGTGGACAGGTGCCGTATGCAAGAATCGATCGTCCTAGTTCATGAACCCGATACTTATGCAACGTATTCTTTTTGATGAGTCTGAGAACGAGCCGAGATTCGTCCCTTAATTTACGGATCCAAAAGCGACACTGGAACTGGCCCCCCTGTTGTGGATCACCTTGATGGCGCCTTATCAGCGGCGATATGGTCACGTGGATCTCCACCCCCGTGTTCAGGGTCCAAGACTTGGCCTGTCACTGGCCCGTTAGTTGAGAACGGGACCGAGCACGGAGTGGCCCCGTTCCGCATGGTCCACTTTCGTACATGCTAAAATGAGCTTTGTTCCGCCGACTCCCTTTCAGCAACTTGCTGGGACAGCTCTAGCAATCTTCTCTCCGTCCGGCACGTAATATCCTCCATTCGGGTTATCCATAAGTCCAGTATAAGCCCAGAGCTTTATCTTTGCTAAAATAAGCACCTGCGATTCGCGTACCTATCTTTATTGCTAGCGCGAGACCCACCTTGTCTCCCATCTTAAACTTTGTCGCGTTTGTTTAGCACCAATACCCAACATCGTCACTATCGCGTCCTCGACGTAGTACTGGTCTCTCAGACAAATGCGTTATCGCAATCAGACGGTTCTAGGACAGGGGTATTAGACGCTAGACTTGACTGCATAGTACTTGCATTCAATAAATGACCTGCCGTATCCAATGATATTGAAGCAGTGTGGCAGGAGAGCTGAACCAACCCCTGCTCGGCAGGAACGGCACCCTTGCGTGCCGTCGTGATAGTGGCGTTTTGCGTCGCACTCCTTAGAGCGTGTTGTCTCGAGGTCGACGAAACCACGAAAATGGTCCGCCGCGGGATGCCTCCTCTGGGGCTCCGAGAACATGGCCGAAAGCTGAATGATAGTCGTTCTCAAGGTGGCTTGTGGTCGAGGCTTTCTTGCGTAGGGTTTTCATGTGGCCGTTGAGATTCAGACTGCCGAAAGGCTGGAGAGAGAGTATTATCCAGTGACAAGGGTCAACGCCAGCTGGAAAATGCTTGTTTCCTTTTCGTGCCACAAGCTTACAACGCCATAGCATCCGCAAGGGTTGCTACTTCTGCTGATTGGCGGCCTTGCGCGAAAAAGCAATATTCCCTACGTTCACCCTTCTCTATTTGTCTCGTACACCCTGTCCCGTGATTCCGTAGGATCTTTGGAGGGGGATCATGGACAAGATGGATAGGCTGGATTGGTCGCGTCAGGGTCTCTGGGGTGTTCTCTACCCAGTGGAAGTCATTTCTTGAGGTGTCCCCTTCTGAGTCTCGAGTCCGAGGTGCTGCATATTCCGAGCCTCCCGCCGCGGTTTTTCGGACCATCAGATATGTTTTCAGTATGCGTTCGAGCAGATAGGCCAGCATTATTCGTTGTATTTGACCTTGTTTGGTGATTTGCAGAACATTCACATTTTCGAGACAACACAGTACTCACTCCAAGACCTATTTTGATGCCAAGCCTCGCCGGCATGCCTCGGCACCATGCACAAAACACCCCTCTGAAAACCAACGTCGTTTTCCGGACGCCTTCTTGGAGTCGCAGCGATGGGAGCCCGACGAGCGCGTCTAGTCCGATCATTCGTTGGAACACTCGCAACGAGGTCTTCCGACGCTTTTCTGATGATGCGACGGAGGATGACGTTCAAGTAACCGAAACGACGTTCGCGTAAGTTGAACACCAAGCCGATGGCCGTCGTCAGCCCGGCGATCTTGACCACTCCGGCGGATTCCGCAGCGGGCCTGGCGGTCTCATGGGAAGCGTATGCTAAAAAGTGCCACAGGAAAGCCGAGACAGCTTACAAGAAGGCTGTCAGATCCCTCGAGTCATATCTCAACAAGGAGGATGCAGCTGCCGTCATATCCAAGGGCAAGGATGGCAAAGAGATTGATGCCAAGGAAGAGCTTCACCAGGTCGTTCGCACGATTCAACAGACCAAGGAAACAAAGCTAGAAGAGGGAAAGACGAAGAAACTCATCAAGTGTTTAGACCATTACCAAGGCGTTTTTGATATCCTGTCGCAAGCAGAGTTCTCGGGCTTGCCACTAATTTGGGGTGGCTTGAAGTTCATACTACTGGTAACACTCCTTGGCTTTGATTCGAGATAACGAGCTGACAATTTGCAGGTGACGAAGAACAACAATGCTGTTCTACCCAAGGTAATCGATGTGATGATCGATATTGGCCGAAACCTCGAGAGAATACGGGGATACGCCGCCTTGTATCCAACCCCACGAATGCTAGAATTCACGGCCGAACTTTACGCTGCAATTGTGGAGTTCTTGGAGAAGGTCATAAAGGATGCGAAGAATGCAGAAAAGAATGTCCTCAGTAAGCGACGAAGTACTCACCCTGGTGGACACCTATTGACGAAGCATTAGAGCGCGCGATGACGTCTTTCCTTCAACCTTTTGAGGTCCGATATGGAGACCTTCTGTCCAAGATGAAGAACACCCTCATGCATATTCGTGAGGACGCAGAGTTGTGTCTCCATGTACGCCAGGCCATGACAAGCCACGCGATAGACAGATATCGTACGGTGTTGCCGCTGCAAAGGCATCAAATGCACCAAGCCTTCAAGTGTATGCAGGCAGATTTGAGACAGCCGAGATACCGCTAACATTTGGTAGCAATCGCCGACAACCCTACTGCAGATGTGTTCCAAGCGATTCGGAAGAATCTGTTCAAAAAGTTTGAAGTTCAAGCGGGGTTCCACCAGGAACTGCAAGCCACATACGAAGTTACAACGTCAAAAGAATGGATCGAGTGGTTCAAAATGGAACAGAAATACGTGCCATCTGGATACTCCCACGAGACGCGGGTTATACAGGCAGAGTGCGACGCCCCAGATCCTCAGCACGCGCTGGTCTGGAAGAAACAGCAGCGCAAGTTCGCTTCCCACGTCCCGTCGGTCTACCTGATCTGGACCCGCGGTATGACGGCGCAGTCGGCCATCGCTTCACTCATAGACCAGATCCTGGTTCAGAAGACGGAAGTCATGGCCGATGCGGGAATCGAAATGGACCAGTTCAAAGAGGCCAACAATAGCGTCAAGTCGCTATGGAACTTCTTTCTCTACCTCACAACAGTCTTGGGCGGGTGCATGGTGTACATCACCATCGGCTCCGTGGGAGACCACGAGTTCGGCATCGTGAGGAAGTTTGTCAGCATGGCGAAGACGTGGAAGGGCCCGCCCATCAACGTAACGCTAATTCACCCGTTCAATGACAACTTTGCGCGGATGGATGATGTCGTCAACCTCGACGATAAGTACGATGTCCATCCGTCGCTCACGACGACAGACGCGATGCACCATGTACTGTTGCTGGAAATCAACACATCCAGGAATGTTTCGGACACGATCCAAAATCTACTTTGGGAGACTGCGTGGCGGGAGGTGCGGTACGCCGTCATCGGCATCGCGCTCACGCAGGTGTTTGAGCATATACGCCTTGCGGCGAAAAAAGTTGGCCAAGAGGTGCTTGTGACTGAAGCACCCTTTACCGAGTCACATTCCGAGCACTGGGAAGCTGCCGTGGCGAAATGGACTTCCAACGAGTCGTGGATCAACATCTTGCGGGAGCAGATCCAGCGACACATCGACATTGTCGACATTCACTTACCCCCAGATCGGAAGAGGTATCTGGAGGATAAGTTGGAACTGATGGTGCTCAACGAAGATGGCGAGTTTGGCTCGAAGCTGTCAACGGCCCAAAGGGCACAAATCTGGGAGAACCTGCAAGACGCGATTCGGCCAGGTACGGGTGAGATGTTTTGTAGTAGAATAGAAGAGCTGTTGCGAGCTTTGCTGGAAGATTACCGCAACGCGAGCTCGGGGAGGAATGGAGAAACAGCGGGGATTTCTTACCCTCTCATCAATACGTATTTCGGGAAGAGTGGGCGGTGGAAGGATTCGTTCTCCGAGGAGCAGAATTTAGTGGCGGACGGCATTACGAACGCGATTGAAATTGGGTTCGGGAATTTGATTCAGGCGTTGGCATCTCGGGAAGATTCGGCGTAAATATCAGTGTTCTTTGAGCAGCGATCAACTTGTATGAAGATATACGAAATGCAACATATCATGAGATCATCATCATCTACAGCATAATGGGTAGAAGTCATCTAGCACCATGCGTAGTACTCGTTATCATCCCACACAGCCACACCCTCGCCTTTCCACCGCAAGCTTGGGATGCTCCCATCAAGCCTCTCGTCAAATACAACCCTAACGGCGCCCTCGGTCCGATCGCTGACCCTCTTCGCCGAAGCCGAGACGCCCTCATCGGGATTCCACACAAGCACCTTGGCGAGTTCCCAATCCGCAGCCTCCAGTACCGCAGCGTGGAGCAGTGCGGTGACGTCGGCGTCAGGATCGCCACCGACCCGAAGAATCTTCAGCTTCTTCTCACGGAAGTCGTGATCCCAGTACAACCATGCCTTTCCATCGGCGGTGGCCACCCCGCGACGCAGGACCTCCCGGTTGACGAGCTCCTTGGCCATGAAACCGTCGCGCGTGAAGTGCCACAGCATCTGCTCGTCCGACGGTGCAAAGGCGACGTGCGTCTTTCCGTCGTCTGGTAGGTTCGCGAGCTTCTTCCTCAAGAGCTCGACGTCCTTCTCACAGAACTCGGGGACATCTTCAGCCGTGAGATACCTGAGACCCTGAGGAGGACGTAGTACGGAAGCGTCGTCCGGGATGAGCGAGACCTGCAGGGACGGGTAGACAGCCCAGCCCATGCGGGAGTAGTAGATAGTGCCGATGTCGCTATACAGCACGCTCACCTTGGATTCGGCGTCCATGGCCTCCTTTACATTGTTGAGGAGGCGTGTGGCCATACCATGGTTGCGGTGAGTCGGATTCGTATAGACGGAAGCGATGGCATAGGCCTTCTCCTCGTGGACGGTCGGAGAGGAGGCATCGCGAACAAAGAGTGTCTTGGCGGTCGCTTCGCAGGAGGAGATAATGTGTTCTGGGTCCGCCGGATCGAAGAGAACGTAGTAGTTACACTTGGATGAGAGAGCCGTCTTGGAGAGCGCGAGTTCACGGGAGATGTAGGCCTCGATGGACATGGGAGGGGCCCATGATACGCCGTTGAGGCGCCATGCGGCCTCGCGCTGGGCGGGGGTCGCGGAGGCGAACTTTACATTCTTTTCTGAGGCGTGCTGTGTTGCGATGAGATCAGACATCTTGGAGGGCAGCACCGGTAGTGAAGGTAAGTGAGTGGGAATGAGTTGGGTTTAGGTCAGAGAAGTGAGGTTGCCGCAGTGGCTCGGTAATTTGCGTTTCAGCTAGGATTTGAACACTCGGACTGCTCAAATCCGTCCGGGAACTTGGCTTTTGAAGCTCTTTGCAGTATGAGGCAATTGTCACCAAAGTGGATGCGGATTAAGCTGAGCTGAAGTCAACCCATCTCATGGCAGACTCGCGGGCTGTCTCGAGGGCTGAGAGGACCTCCCACAGCGGGGTTGGGGGGTCGGCCACCCCTCTGTGACCGAGCTCGGGGGTCAACCCCATGTCTGGTTATAGCCACGCCCCAGCTCCCAACTAGTGATCCCTCGACTGATGCAACTGCGGCACATCCGCCCCTGTCACAATGGCCGCGACGGGCGACAGCCGAGCGCAAACAACCCATTTCTCATCCACCCACCACGTTATTGTGGCTTATTTGGTCCTCGCTGAGGCCTTGTCTTCGGCCGTGTTTGTTGGTGGTGGTTGCATATGGATATGGACCAGATGTGGGGATTGATGGTCTAACGCTTTTTCTTGGATAGGCGAATATAACTCAAGAAGCCAGACACCTTCCCTGCGAAGCGTTGACAGCCTTATCTGTACTTCTTATCGTTTTGAAATTATCCCATTTGGGGCTATCTGCTGGAAATTGTGCACTTCACTCGGCCAAGGGCTATTGCTTCTCCTTGATAGCATCATGTTGGGACGTACGCCGCTCTTTAAGGCTTGTATGGCGCCAAAGGTTTTGACAGCCCTGGATGCTCAGCGAGCAACTCGACAGTGGCGAGCTCTCAAATTGGGCCTTGGAAAATATTAGGGACAAAACATCCGCATTAGGTTTTAAGTGCTAATGATGCGCCTCCCAAAGTCCGCATCTCGCAGTCAACATCATCTATAAGCTTTCAACGTTACATGTATAAAACTGAGGTTCCGCCAAACTGCCCCTCAAATCCATCAACCGAGGAAAACCGTTCAGAAACAACATATTGATTTTGTTTGTGCTTGAATGTTTATGCCAGATTCAAGTGCTTTCCATCGCCAGCGTGGCCTGGTTGTGCCCAGTGATCTGCGTTAGTAGGGTTAGTTTAAAACTTGGCACAAGTGGTGATGGAGTTTATACTTGTATCGCACCGGGCAATGACTTTTCGGGGATGAAGTATGTTCAGAATGAATCCAAAGTACTTTTCAAACAATCATTTGTCTTGAGACTTGGCACCCGCAGGCTTCGGATTCTCGGCGCTGACGACATTGATGGCGTGGGACTTCCTCATATGAGGCCCCGTATCGCGACGTCTGAGCATAGCCTTCTTCGGTGTGCTGGGGGCACCATAATATGCTGGCGGCTTGATTGGGAGACTGATTTGCGCGGCTGAGATGGCCAGAATGCCGAACATGGCGAGGATCAGTGCAACGTACTTCATGTTGAAAGATATACGAGATGGCGGCGCAAGAAGAATAGAAGAGAGAGGAAAGAAATGCGATCGGACCATCAACCGCGGTTCTTATGTTGAAACTTCCACTACTCATCAGGGTAGAACCGTAGAAGATAGAGCAAGCCACAAAGTGCTGATCTCAAAACTTACTCCGCAGCCCTTATCTTTCTTCTCTACGAAAGCTCACGCGCCACGACGAAGCCTACATTCCACCAGTACTCGAAATTTTCTGATTATCTCTGTAACTGAGCGCCAAAGCCGGCCATTGGACAGTTCCGCGACCAGGCCTCTCATCCTAGAAAACCGTAAAGTATGAGGAAAACTAAGAATCCCGTTGTGTATGAACCCGGAGCTCTGACACTAATGGATGCGTTGGTAACCACGACAGTCGGAAAGGTTCTCGCCGCGTCTCTAGTTGAGGGCGACAGGGTGCTGCCCTGCAGTGGGGCTGTTGGTCCGAACCCGGCGCCAGCACCGGCGCCAACAATCCGCGTAGGAGCCGGAGTGGGTCTTGCTGAAGAACCGTGCTCGGAGCCGACCGACGACGCTGGGCCGGACCCCCGAGGAGTCAACGGTTCTTCGACGCCAGGTGGGTAGTTCCAATGGGAATCGTGTGAAATGCATTTCTCGCGGTCGGAATCACTGGGATGAGCTGTGTAATGCACCGGCGCATCCCCTGGCGACGTTGTTGATTCAGGGACAGTGTGATGAGTTTCTATGGTTTTTGCGGGAGCTGAAAGAAATTCTCAATGTTTCTGCCTGAGCGCATGGGGAAGGAATTTTAATCGCTTAACAGAAGGAAACAATCGTTTTTTCTGGCAGTACGAGAACCTCTGCGGCCTACCAATGTCAGCTCATCCTGTTTAGCATCTTCAGTCTTTCAATCTATGTCGCTTGCTTTTCCCCCACCACAGCATAGTTTCTGGAAGTTTGAGAGCCTGTAGAAATATTTAAGAACTTTGATGTTCATACAGGGGCAAATAAACCCATGCTAGAAAGGGGGAAATGTCCCATGTTGCATTACATTTCCGCTACGCCTATCCACTCTGGAGGACTGTAACAGACTCACATTAACCGAATTCTATAGCCGAAGTGATTTGTAGTGTGCCATAATATCGCACAGCAAAGGCGCGTGAGACAGCCTCTTGGAGTAAAGCATGAACCTGAAATGGACCTTTCAAAAACCTTTGACCTAGACCCCTGCTCTGCTCTGGCTCTGTGTACTAATTCGTTGGGCATAAGTAGTAGCGGCCATCTCCCGATGCCAGAAAGCCCATCACAATATCATCAATCATAACCATAACAGATGGTAGGAAGAGAAGTGGTAGCAAGGCGAGGAACAAGGAATGTGTGCTGTGTTAGAAACTCAGGTGATGAATCAAAGTCGGCTTTGTTATGAGTCGGGTACCTCATTCTTTGACGAAAACTTAGCTTTGGCTCAACTGACTGGATTGGCATTCGGTAAAAGGAGAAATAGCTCAGTACTAAGAACGACGTCATCGTTGAAATCGATTCGGTCGGAAGGCATCAGTCAACTCCGTGTGTCACTTTGATTACCTTAGGAACCCTAGTAGAGTGAATACAAGAGAAAAAAGCTTTGGGCCAATACCAAAGCAGAATGAGTAATTAAAACAAGCAAAAAAAAACCCCCCTCCGACATTGCGAATTTTGCGCCCCTAGAAACGCAGACCATGACAGGTTCTCACGATACCCCTTTTAGGCTGCGGACAAGATGGCTACCAAGTGCTAGATACTAGTAGCTCCAATTCTTGAGATACGACAAGTTAACCAGAATAATAACCAGGGAGATGAGAAGGTCCAGTGTTATTATTAATCGACAGATGAGGTACTCTTCGAAGAGTCTGGTTCGTGGAGGGAGGAAGCTGCCTGGTTTTAGGGTTTCGAAACTGATACCAAGCCTGGCGCATCTTCAAGCTGATAACGAATGTCAGCAAAACCTTTTCGCCACAAAGAGACACATTACGAGATTGTAGAAGCAGAACTTACATTTGACCAGCTGTGAAGGTCAGATTCTTGGTGCTGCGGTCTTATTAGCTTCACTGCTGCCGCTTGTCTTGTTTTGGGAGCCCCATACCAAGCGGAGTACATCATGTAATTACGGATTAGATCAATACCCGGAAGTCCAGGACACGAGTCCTTCCCTGGTGTACACAGCTGATCACTTCTATTGTTGGTCTGCGGTGTATCTGGGACCTGATCTCCGTCCGACACATGACAACCTCCTTGGAACGGGTGCTGGAGTCCGAGCCAGTGGCCCACCTCGTGAATTATCGCCTTCTCCGACAGGTAATGGGTCATGGCGAGGTGACTGAGGACGACACCATCTAGAACCAAGGCATTGGAGGTGTTTCTCGCCAAGATTTGGGGAAAGAATGCGAATCCCAAGAGGCCGGGAGACATCTTGGCTACAAGATAGATATTCAGCGTCTCTGCGCCACCAAGACGGAGGCGGCCTTTCATATTGAGGGCCGGTTTCGTAACGAGGGCATCGTATTCGAACTCTGCAAGATCGTAGTCGTAAATGTGATAGGTCTTAAAAGGGCCGAAAGAATATCCCAGGCTCGAGTAGCCTGCAGCGAGATTGTCTTGAAGTCTGACAACAGGAGAAGTCTGGACGGATTTTAATGTCAGTTGAAGTCTATATGGAGTTTCAGACAGCCCATGGGTGTGATGATGCGATACCGTGTTCAATTTCATTTGGGAAAATGGCGATCCAAGCATGAAGACGTTGACGGGGATATCGATGGTGGCGTTGCTGGCGATTGGAGATTCGAGAGTCGTCGCCTTCTCGAGGGTTTCAAGGTCATCCGAGCCGTGGAAACGAGCGCCATAAACATCGAAGGAGCACCAGTGCTGTTGGATCTGCCACTGAGGTGCTTTGTTGAGAGAAGAGCCTTGGAAAGGGAGGGCAAGCGCAATGCTCGCCATCGACGCAGCACCTAGAAGGCGAAGTGCCCAAGACAGATGAAGCATTTTGGTTGACTTGATAGTACCGGTTCTGGGGTTAATTCGTTTGGGGGAAAAAACACAACTTGTTCAGCCGCAAGTTTGGTGGTTCCTGTAATCATTCTTATGGTAAGTTCATGTGCATGAAATTGGTTCACCATAGTGGGTCAGAGAGCAACGAATCTTGAGCTGACAGATTTCTCTTTGAGATACCTGGTTAAGTGACAGTCTAAATTGTGGGAAACAAACGTAGGCCTCGAAATCATTCTCCATTTCCATTGAACCGTAACCCCCAAAAAGTCAAAAGAAAATTTCCGGATCTAACCTTTGCAGACAGTTGGTACCCTAGGCCCCGTTTCTATGGCTGAGGTCTGTTACCACCCAAGCCTCTGCTGGACCACCAAAGCGGGAGCCATGTTTGTATTGAGCTCATGAAAGCCCAAGAAGCCCTCGGAAACATGGTGGAAGAGGATAGAAGACGGTAGATGGCGTGGCTGATATGATGCCCACGAAATCCCGGGCCGATGAAAGGACCGAAATCACTGTTACAGTCGCAGAATCCGAGAAATGGTGAGTAAATCGGCATTAAGGTAAAATCTTGTTCAACAGAGGATTGACCCGGCTGTCTAGAAGCGAGCGCGGGTTCGCATACTTCCAGGCTGATGTGGAAGCGCCAAAAAAAAGTATTGTATTCGGGGGGTATAAGCGCTAAAAGTCGTGTTGCAATACGCGTCGTCATGTAATCAAGGAGGATCAATAAGATGCTGACGATGAGTGGCTCATGTTCCATCGGTCATCCGGTACCGAGGAGGGCGTTGTAGGCTGTGCTCATCGGCGAATCTGATCTAAGCCTTCTTGAAAAGTCGCTTGAGAAGACTCTTGTTGGGTGATGAAGACCCTGTAGCGGAATGTGTCAGCAAGCTTGGTCTTCCAAGAATTGAGTTGGCGATAGCATTGGTCGAGAAAGTCTTGAAAACCGATGCGGATGACTATTAAGCCGGACTCCTTGCAGACTAGAAGAGGGAGAGAGAGAGAGAAAGCTTACCATTGAGGGTACCGGCGGCATCGTTCTTCTCCTTGGACATGACAGGGACGCCGTCCTTGTCAACGAGAGTTGATTCCGAGGCCATCGCATCGATAGTCGGCCGCGATGTCGGAGCAGGCTGACGGGGCCGGCGAGGCATAGCTGAAGTCTGCATGTGGGGAATGATGAAAGCCGTTTCGTAGTAGGCGCTAGACATCTTGTCTTCTGTCTTCTCCCGGAGGATGGCTTTGAGGTGTTGCTGAGATTCAATGGAGCTCATGTGGGGTAGTGAAGAGGATCTGGTAACTCAAAAGCCTTATGTAGTAAGTTTCAATGACTTGTGATGACTGGATGCTTGGTTTCGATGGTGTCTGAATCCGGGGTTACGAGGAGACGTCTTGGATGGCCTTTATACATCTGAGCACTGAATCTGATTTCCAATGCAAACGCGGCTTCGGTAGAACGAGTCCCATCTTGACTCACATATGCAGGCCTAGCATGTACATGGCATCATGTCAAAGGGCGCGGCGTGGAACGAGTCAATGAAGCCCATAGGACGGTTCAGTCATGTTAGTGCCGTTTCTGAGGCTTGTCAGACGGGGGGATCGTTGCCGAAGTGGAGGTCCAAGGCCGGCTCCAAAATGCAATTCCTAAACCAATAACGGCTTTTGCCAAAGATTCGGGCTGGGTACCACATCATCGGCCAATAAGCCCTTGGCAAAAGGAAGGCTTGTTCGGTCAGTCTTTTTGGGTTAGGCTCACAGGCCGAGTTGATACAAGCTTAGCTTGTTCGGCCAGTCGCTTTGGGAAGACTCCATACAACAATTAGTCATACAACGTCGAAAAGAGTGGGCCACTGACACCGATATATCCACTTCCGAAGCCGATACCACGTTTCCAAAGCCGAAGCCGAGAAATTGGTCACCAACTACACTCCGTCGAGCCGGACGACGACGTGTTGTTCAAGCTTTGCGATTGGTTTCCCGAACTTTCTCTGATGAGACGACGCGGCCTTGCCAACTCGGAAACGGAGACATTGACCCATCTCCATCGCTGAATAATTATGTCGCAGAATATGGAGTCGACACAAACACCACCCCGGCTCCTGTTCAGAAAGAACGGGCGGCCGCAGGCGTGTGAGCCGTGCCGGAAGCGCAAGGTCGCCTGCGACCATGCTCAACCAATCTGCAACAGATGTAGGAAGTCGAAGCGTCCCGGTGAGGTGTGCGAGTACATTCTCGGCGACAGTCCCGCACCAAAAGAAACCCCGAGACAGACTCGGCCGAGGGAAAGCCGCCGCGGACCGAGGGCTCCTACTCTACCACTTACGGCGCCGACGTTTCCACCTCCCGTGACAGTAGCAAAGTTCGTGCCGAGGCCAGCGGAGGTCTCGCAGACAGAGTCGACGGCGGAAACATCGCCCGTGACAACTGTTGCAAGCCGTTCCCGCACTTCTGTCCCCGCCAGCCTCCCCACCAGTCCGGAGTCGATCGGTACGGGTGCCACCCCGACTGTCCTCGGCATCGGCTACCTTGGCTTCACTTCCTTCTGCGGCATATACGAAGAAACACGGTCCAGTCTTAACCGGCTCCAGCCCTCCGGTGTAACTCCCATCGGGGAAATTGGCGCAACGGCATACTGTGGGCTCGAATGCTCTCCGCCCCTGACGAACCAGGCCCTGCAGACGTGCCTGACCATCCTCCGCTACGTCCCGGACCGGGAGACGGGATTGAAACTCTTTGACTGCATCGTCAACCCGAGCGACGGCTGGATCCGCCTAGCCGCGAAACGCATGGTCACGTCGCTGTACGAGACGTTCCCGCAGTACTTTTGCGCTTCCGAAAAACCGGATGATGCGCAGCTGACCGTACTCGCCCGGGCTATATGCAGTAACACTGCAAAGTGCGTCTCCGACGAGGAGACTGACCCCGAGAAGTGGGTCGCGCAGTTCACCGGCACGAACTTGCGATGGGAGTCGTTGGGCGTGATGTTTGCGTACTGGGAGTTGGCGGCTAGGTGTCTCGGTCCTTACCGACCCGACCTCGGCTCAAAGTTCCAAGGCGCAGACGAGGGGACCAAGGCCGGGGCGCAGTACCGATATTGTGTCTGCGGGACCATAGAGCTGACGAAGGCTGCCGGCAGTGGAGGCAACAGTATGCTGCTCTTTATGTCTGCGAAGCGAGCCGTTACCGAGTCCATCTTCTCGGGCGATGCGAGTAAGTGATTCGCACTTCGAAGCACTATTCCGCCCACAACCCAGCCATTCCAGTGGGACTCGCGCCAGGATGAAAGAACTAACATTGTCCTTTCAGGTTTCGCCTCCTGGCAACTACACGCCGAAACGATGGCCATGACAACGTTCCTCGGCATCCATGACGAGGTCACCACGGAGCCGTATAAGCCGAATATCTGCTCCGAGATCAAGCGCAAGCTCTTCTCCTATGTCTTCTACATGGACAAGGTGTTGGCCTCGTTCACCGGCAGGCCGCCCCTCATTAGCCGTCGGTACGCGCGCACGCCGCCGCCTCTGGACCTCAAGGACGAGTATCTCCTTGCGGACGAGGCTACATTGGCCCGGCATGTAGCCGCTCTCGATGAGAACGGATGGAACACCGAGGGCGGCTTGTACTCTGCCACATTCGTGCGGGCTCGTGTCATGTTGGCGCATATTCGGGATGAACTGTTCGAGATTGCTCTCGGCCACGGGCCGGCGACGCCGGTTGAAACACTTCTGTAAGTTCCCCTGATGGAGCACGAGCCCATGGCCCTAGGATACGATGCTGATTTGGTCGCCTCAGAGAGATCAAGGAAAGACAGCTCAAGACAGTCGCCGGCTTCCCACCGATCCTCGCCTTTAGAGAAGAGGACATGCAGGACAGGAAGATTGACGTCTCGACACTCTACGTCCAGCTCATCGTCCACCTCGAACACCTCCAAAACATGTTCTTCATCGAACGCATGCTTGCCAAGAGGGGCCACGATGACGGCGCGTTGCTCTCCGTCAGCTTTGAGATGGTGTCGAAAACGGTCATGTTCTGGACGAACATGGACCGCCTAGCCTGTATGAACGGCTATTTTGAATGGCTCGTACGTGCCCCCTCATTCCCCCTCAAGCCGTCCACCTGGGAGTCTCACACTGACACGGTTTAGGTGATGGCCTACGCCGCCCCCGGCGGCGGGATACTCTGCCTCGAGCTCCTCAAGCCCACGCTCCACGGCGGCAACCACCCGCAGAACCCAAAAGTGACGCGCTCCAGCATCATCCAGAAGCTGAGCCTGCTCGTGGGCTTCCTCGACTGGGTCGGCCCCACGGCGCCCAACGGCGACCTCTGCGCCGACTGCAAGTGCATCATCCAGCACGTGCTCGATCAGGCCCTCAACAGCTCCGCGGCATCGGCCTCGTCTGCTATTGACGGCGGCTTCCCTGCGGCGCTGGACGCCATGGACTGGGATTTCTCCACGCAGCTCGACTTTAATTTCGATCTACTCGATACGTTTGACTGGCTGCGTCCCGAAGTTCCCTCCAGTCAACAGTCATGAGAACACTCAAAAGGAAGAAGAACGGCTGCAGAAGTCGCGGATGCGGCTAATCTTTCCAAACCTAGCTGGCGTTTTAAACAGCTGAAGACTCCTGTGGTATACCTGGACTTTGCAGTTTCTTGGACCATGTTATTTACGAAACCAAGCAATGAGTTACGAGACATGATTGATGTACATGATAAAGCACGATAAGTTAGAAGGATTCTTGCACTGTCATCATAATCAAGCGTATCTCGTTAAACCCTATGTATTTGGGGGGAGGACCACCGGATGCCTCAGAAATATATGTCGTGGATTGGATTGAGGGAGTCACTCATCCAAAAGTCTACCACTATCCCGCCTTCCATCAATTTCCGTACAATACTGTTGGTGAACGTCGAATAAACACTCGAATATGGACAGATGGGAGAAACAAACCCAATACGCTCGTTACTCGTATACCGAAATGGACATGCCACCGGTAATCGTACTGCACATTCCGACGTTCCCATTCAACGCGTATACCAACCTGAGCCTAGCCATATATTGGTGGCTAAGGGCTAGTCGAACCTCTCCTTCCAAGCAAAGTACTGATATGGAATGTAAATCGCAGCAATTGCAGCCAGAAATGCCCCCAATCCGAAAGCAGAAGAAGGATCCGACTTCAGTGCCACGTAAATCCCCACGATCACGCCAATAAGCACAGTTACAGTAAGAAGAAGGAACAAGAAGTGGTTCCAATCAAAGCACTCATTGATGCGTATGCCCCATCCGATGACTGGCTCCCCATAAACTCCCTCTTCGCGGTGCATTGGGTTTCGAAGCTTCTTCGGAAACGTGGTGACCCAGTACTTATCACTGTGTTTGCTACCAGGTCGCGTCAGATGCCAAAGTGGGATTGAGGCGAACTCCACGTCAAGCATTGGCACCGGTTCATATAAGTAATGACCTGCATGTACTTCGACGGGTGGGGGAAGCTCTGCACGTTTAAAATTGCTTGGCACAACGTTTTCTCCGACTGGAACGAGTTGAAACTTTCCTCAAGTTAGAGCTAGCTTTCCTCACGTATTCGAGGTAAGGGGAATTAATTACCCGCACGAAATCGCCAGAATCCATCTTGAAAAAGCCGATTTCAGACAGTGATCGAAACAATCGGAAAAAGTAGCCTAACGAGCTAGGAGTATTTTGCTCTAGGAACTTTGATACGTTGTTGAGTACTGTAGAGACTGGTAAGGGAAGAAGGAAGGACGTCTTCCAAGCCGACCCCTCCTGTATTCTCTGATAATTCTCCAAGATCTGCTGGAAAAGGTACTGGTCATTCTGAAAAGAACTGCATTCAATATGAACCAGCACTGGAAGGCTCTTCTGGTTAACACACAACAGTAGGTACTGTGGGCTTGTTCGCTCGTCATCGTGTGGATTGTCTTCCTCGAACCAGGATGTGCGAGTTGTCGGTGTCGACAATCTCGTACCAGAAGAAGAGAACGAGAGTTCGGAACTCTGGCGCGAAGACGTAGAATGGCTTCTTTCGGACCGAATGTATGCTGAGGGAGGGGGAGAGAGGCCGCCGGGAACATCTGTTGTAGGTTCTTCGGCGGTGATAGCATTGGCCAAACCGTACTTAGCAAGCCGTTGCCTAAACCTCCCTAAGCCGCCCGGGCTTAGCTCCTTGACATCTAGAAACATATTGTTACCGCAAGCCTGTTGAAAGTGATTAGCTTAGGCTCTCGGGAAGTATGATGACGGAGAGCAGCCACCTACACAAATGTACCTAAATCTTTGATAGCCAGTTTCTGGTGGAGACCACAGATCGAAGAGCCAAGCAAACAACTTGTTCTTCCGATGCACTAGGCTGTGCCACCCACGCGGCTTCGGATGTTCTACAGAGTGCGTATCTTCCACATCCTTACAAATCGGGTTGAGAAAGTCTTGGAACTCGGCTCGAAAGGAGGCCAGTGATGTTCCAGAGGTAAAAAAGCTCTTGGTAGCCTCCAGATCCGCGAGGGCGATGCTGTTGTCGTAGTCTTCTTCGTCTCCAGCCACAGAGCTTCCATCTTCACCCCAATCATCAACTTCCGGTGTTCGTTCCGTATTGTCCGGTGAATGGTCTTCCAAAGGGAGGCCCAAGTTGTTAAGAAAAAGCTCTAGAGTTAAATCTCGCTCTTCATCTTGAGGCAATGTTGTGGAGACCTTTTCCCTTATCGTTGTATCATTTGATTCCATATTCTCACGAACCTTCATCGAAATGAGTATTCTGTGACTTCGTGGCCTAAGGAAATCGATGGCTACGCTTTGTTTCTGGTTTGAGGCTTGGGAACGCAGCGAAAGGTAGTAAGTCTTAAGAAGACGCCCATGATTTCGAACAAATCGATCGCTTTCTAAGCGTCGAGCCGCGTTCTTATACAGAGGAGTCAGATTCGGGTCACTGGCTAACATCTCCGCTAGATAGCTGACCGCAGCTTGTCGGACCTTCCATTGAACTGAGCTTGATCCATCTTGCGATTGAATATCTTCGGGCCCTGAGACGATTGACTTAATATCGTCACCATTGTCATGGAACCGGCCCTCGGTTTCAGTGTGATTGTAGAAATGTTTGGCCTTCTCCTTCTGGGTGTCGTTTTCCTTAGCCATGTGTAGGTCTTCCTCAATTGAAGATGGTTTTGTAGAAGCAAGCTCCTCGCTAAAAGTTCGACTACCTCTACTGGAGTCTGCGTAACTTTCGTCCACAGATGTTCCAGCATCTGTTGGCGGCGTACCAGATGCCTTCGAAGCCTGTGTGGTTTCGTGATACTGAGGCGCATCGTTGAGAATCAGACCTTGCCAAGTTATGATTTCGTCGATCCTGGAGTAATAATAATCTCGCGGACCAGATGGATCGACCGAAAAACTTATATCCATTCCTTCTTTTCCATTTGCCGTCCCTTCAACGTTATGCCTGCGAAGATATAACTCAAATGCGCCATCATCCTCATGAACAGGGGCATCGTATGTCCTGATTTCCGAGGGCTCGTGTTCCGGGAGTACGCGAGTGTCCTGATCATTTGGAAGCGCAAGATCGACCTCGTATGTTTGTTTCGACTTCGGCGACTTGGCATTGGCCTCATAGTCCAGGACTCGACGCAGTTGCTGATCTGGTCCCCCGAATTGACGTTGGCCGATAAAGCGACATGTTGTGGCTGCAAAGATAAAACTCGGACACGTCATCTTGACCAGAGTTTCGACATTGGCTTGACCAGGCCAGGTAGGAGACAATCGTCGCTCCTTGGGCGCAGTACTGTTGTAAGCATTTCTTATCATTGCCAGTTCGTGTTCTAGAAAAGCTGATATGTCATGTTCAATGACAGACTTCGGCATCTGGTGTAACGGTATCTTGTTAAAGATGCCTTCTACAGCGTTGAAGCCTAGTTTAACTGGTGGGTCAGGCCTGCTGGTAAATAGAACCTTTAGCCTAGGAGACCGAGAGTCTTTTGCGCGAGAGAGAAGGTTAATAATGAGCTTAATGTCCTGGTCTCCCTCACACTCATCTAAAGCATCAACAACAATAGCAATAGAAGTACTATTGTGGGCTTTTCCTTGACTTTGCAATAAAGGTGTGTAGATGAGTTTTTCGAACTGCTCCCGGAATGCCTTAGTGTATATTTTTGGATCAGCATCAATAGCTTCCTTCACATAAGGAGCTAGCACCGGTAGATGCACGACCAGCTGCGAGGCAACTGTTGTAAAAAGATAACTCGCATGGCTGCGGTCAACCGTTCCACTCTTGAAGAAGAAGCTAGCGCCAAGTTGGCTTTTTCTAGCGAGAGACTGAGCCACAGTTCGAGAAATTGTCGATTTTCCCGTGCCTGCCGTTCCATACAGCCATAACACCGCTGGGGCATTAGGGTCATCGACCCATGCACTTATTGTCTTCAATATTCCTACCCTCGTATTCGGCAGGCAAGTTGGGTTGTGTTCTTCAGAGTGAGAATCGAAGGAAGCCCCGGGGGCAGTTGGAAGATTTTCAAGGACAGTCCTCTGATCTAAACTGATAATGTTCGATCTAGGGTATAACTCGATTAGCATGGGACAATACATGGGAAACGCGGGCAATAATGTACTTGTGTTCAATCTGCAGACCTATTGAGATGGTCTGTGTGCATTGTGTTATGTCTTGTAGAATCTTTTCAATGTCTTTGCTCTGTAAAGGCCATTTCAAAGCTTGAACTCCGAACCGTCTCATGACCTTGCGAGTGTTGGAAGAGCGGAGTTCGTCAATTATTCTGTCGAGCCGTGACGAGGCTCGCTTAATAGCATCGAGAAGCTGCTGCGAAACCTGGAGTTCGGCGCCTTTGGGACCTTTGAGAAGATCCAAGGCGGAGATCGCAATGGCTTTGAGATTGAGGATTTCCGCTTCCACCCGTGCGATCTCGACCCTTGCGCTCTCGTTGCTCTTTGAGTACTGGAGGCATAACGATGCAATCTTTTCCGAACGCTCAACGATTGCAATTAGGTTTGCAGCAAGCCCCACATAATCCATGGATACAGATTCGTACGAGTGTAATAAAACGACTGTTGAAATTGAAGTTGTTAACGATGGTAAGGTTGCGGGGTTCGTCAAGCAGCAGAGAGGGCGCCACTTTGCAACAGAGCCGGCCACGTGAGCTCACCTGCAGGAGGTAAGACTTGGCAGCTGCGAGACGAAGCTATTGGATCCCGTTGCTGTGAGTACGGCAATCCCTCAAGTACTGTAAGCCCAAAAGAGCAGTCGTTGCTGATATGGATGTGCACCGATTTCCTTAGTCTTCTTCAACAATCTGTCGTAGACAAGAGCATTGAGCGATTGAACCCGCGTTTCTGGAGGTTTGGGGAAAAGCTATATTCGGACCTGAAATATTCTGGATATCAACACCAGGGCACTGATATAACATGTTGTTGCCGTCTATGGAAGTCGGTCAGCTAAGATACGCAAAATCACACGCAATCAAGTCGGCTTGCGTAGCAGAAAGAACCAAAAGTCCCACTCGGATAGGACCGCCGTGCCT